AATTAAATACCTGCATGCTGGGAAAATATGCTAGCATACAAATATATTTGATCATATGTTGTGTGTACACGGAGTGTCTTTATGTATAATAAGCTATAAAATCACAGAATGATCCATATTTCAGGAGAATGATCCATATTTCATAGTCTTTTCTTTGATTCTATTTTCAAGGAGCAAAGATTGGTTTGATTAAACATTAATTTATTTGAAATAGCATATCAGATACTGCCATCAGATAATTTCAACAACTTCTTTCCTCAAAGAACCAACTTCCATGACAGAATAAAACTATTTGCTTGTGAAAGACCCTGAAAAAGCAATCATAATTCCAGCTATGAACAAACTCAAGGCTACTTATTCCAAGGACAAATAAAATTTATCCTTATTATGTGTGTGTTAAGCGGAAAGAGGGAAAGTTCATGTGTTCACAACTTATTTGGAGGAAAGTAGAGAGTTAAATTCTCAGTCACAGTAATCTTCAATCAAAGTCATCACAATTTTTATGTATAAGGCCTTTGACTATGAAATATTCATCCAAGTTCTTTTCACTTCCCCTTAAGCCTTTCATCCAAGGCACTTTAAATGATCTACAGTTCAAAACAGAAAGCTTGGTTAGATCATTCATTTGTTCATCACCTCAAATTATTCAAAAGTGCTTTGGTTCTAAAATATTCAGACATCAAAAACTAGATTCTACTTGCTGGCCACCAGATGTCACCAGGATTCCATTTGCAAAGTAATAAACACCTGACGCAGACATTTCTGAATGACATACATACACCCATACTGACTTCTGTATGTTACAATATTTGAACTTGAATCAACAACTGTTTGGAATTTTGATTTTCCACCATTTTTCCATAGTGAGACTGCAAAATGAAAATGTGATCACTGTCATAGATGTATGTAGTGTTTGTCTCCATTCAGTATTTGTTCCCACAGGGAAGAATGTTTACCTAGGATCAGATTTGTGATGAAAGAGACAGTATGAAGACTGAGGAGTGTAGAGAAAAGAGAGATCACTGCCGAGTCAGGGAGAAATGAGGAGGGTCAGAATGGAGGCTGTAACTGAAGATTCAGTGTGAGAACACCATGAGGTGGGGGGCGGGGGGGAGGCAGGTGTCACATCTGATCTGAGAGCTTCATACACAGTGATGTCACACTGAGCCTGGCAGGTAGAAGGGCAGATCTCTATAATGAGAAAAAGGAGGTCACTCCATTTTGGGACAGGCTGACTTGAGGGATTAGTTCTGACTTTCTTGCTTTTCTGTCTCTTTTAGGATTTTGGTTTCCATAATAAAACTGTAATCAGGATTCTAATTGCCAGAAGTGAAATAGACCTGCTGACCATAAGGAAGAGATACAAAGAGAGATATGGAAAATCACTGTTTCATGATATCAAAGTAAGTCTGTGTGTGATTTAACTCACATTCTATGCTTCATGAAACGGGCATAGGATTGTTAATCTGAATGCTCACATGTGAGAATCTAAAATGTAAAATATTTCAGTAAGGTTGATCTACTTTAATAACTCAGGTAACATTTCATGTATCAATAGGTGCAATCTAGGAAGCACTGCTACCTCAATGATGCAAGTCTCTAGCTCTCTGGTGTAAGCAAAATCATTAATGCACTTATGCCAAATAGTAATCCATATCATTGTGCTTCAAGAGTTACATATGACCTGGACCAGAAAAATATGTAAAAAGGATTTATATACCAGTCCAACTCTCCTCTTGTACAGTCATAACCAAGTAACATCAACTAGTAATTGGAAGACATATTGTCAATTTACTTTTGAAACTCCACATTGATTTTAAATAATTATAATAATAGTAAATTATAAAATAAATAATATAAATATAATACAAATATATTACTTATTAGATACAATTTATATTATATAATATAGACTGTATTTTATATAATTATAATTATATTAGTGTGTCATATAAATATATGAATAATAAATAAAACAAATAAATGCTTATATAGATATTTATAATTTTTATATTATGCTATATAATATATAACATAACATATAATACATGATAGAATACATAAATGTTATATGTTGTATATTCTATATATTTATACTATATGTTTATAATATAAAACTTATATATAATATAAATATAAATTACAACTTAGATAAAATCATAGTAATAAGGCACCTCTTTATAAATTAAAGAGATTCCATTTTAATGCAAGTTATTTATATACATTAGAGCTGCATCAACTGTACATAAATTGCATAATAATGATTATAATAACCATGATATATTTGTTTCAATGACTTTCATTTAGAATAATTCTTAGATCTTTAGATTAAAGTAGAAAAATAATTCAAGAAAAGCTAAGGGTTCATGGATTTTCTATACTGCAATTCAGAAGAATTAGGATTCTTTTCTAGAAACACTATGAGATTTTGAGTATATTGTGGTCTCTTTTTTCAGAATTTTGCCTCAGGGCATTATGAGAAAGCACTGCTTGCCATCTGTGCTGGTGATGTGGAGGATTATTAAAATAAGGAGAAGGAAAAGTCTGGAGGATCCTGAACTCTTCTTTATAGACACACCAAAATAAACATTTTCTGTCAGATGTTTGCTCCTATTAGCACAGTAATAAAACTGCACAATTATATTTTTCTTCTCTCTTTAAAATTATTTCATGTCATAAAATCTATTTCTGATACATATCCTGGATTTGTATTTGTTATTCATTTATTAATTGAACAAGATGGAACAATAAGGAAAAAATTGTGTTGGAATAGGTTTTATTTAAAAGTGAATCATCAATTCCCCACAGCAAGAAAGTCTGCTCAAGATTGTCCTTCACATGATTTGGGAAATCTATGGAAGATGCGCTGTGTGACATCCTGCTTGGAGGAATTTTATAAACACTTATACAAATACAATAAAGCTAAAAGAAAATATATAAAACACAAAATGTACTTATTAACATTTCAAGAGTCTTCAATGCAAAATTAGGAATGAATTATGTTGTGTGTATGTGTGTGTGTTGGCTGTACTTAGAACCTTTGTGTTAAAGGAAATTTCACTACTTTTTGCTTGTTAGCCATGAGCCTTGAACTTAGAGCCTGGGCACGGTCCCTGAGCTCTTTTGTTCAAGGGGAACACTCTTCCACTTTGAGACATAGCTCTACTTCCTAGCTACTTTTTAAATAGCACTTAATCAAATACTAAAAAAAGCCATTCTTGTTGATTTTCCACTTCTTTAACATCAACTTAACTGACTTTAGGAAGTTATATGCATTGGGCCATCATTGGAATCAAGTCCCTTCTCTCCCAAGATGCAGCAAATGAGGAGGGAAAAATGAAAAACTACAGAGATCACATATTGGGAAAAGCCTAATTCTACATGGATTGCCAGAGGCAGAGTGTCCACATCTAACACTGAGGACTCCCAATATAAGCAAATAACCACTAACACCAAGATCCAGAGGATGTGGTGGTAAGTTAAGCCAGGCCAGTCACCACGTCATGATGAACCATGAAGATAACCGAAGTGCTGTCAGTAGCCTATAGTCTAGTCTTTGGGAATCTTCTCCTACTGGTCTGAGGGAGGCTAAGGTTGAAGATACAATCTGAATCTAGTATTGGACAGGTAGAATGAAATCAGACATTTTAAGCTCAATTCAGAGCACGTTGCACTTAATAATAATGAAGACTAAATTCTCAAGATTTCACCTTATTGTTATGATTTATGATGAGATATTTTAAATTGGGTTTGATTTCTATTTCTAAAAGGTCATAAATAATATTTCATGAAAAAAAAAACACTCTTTGAAGTACTTTACATATTATTTTTTCCCAGCTAAAACTCTTGAAGAAGAAAACTGTTAGGATCCCCAGCTTCATAAGTAGTGGAAACATTCTGAAAATGTATACTTCGGGTAGATAATACATCTGATTTCTTTGTGACAACATGCTGTTATCAAATCAAAAGCAAATCTAGACTTGGTATAAGTGCAGCTGCTACAATAGGCAAAAAAGAGCTATTGCAACCAGGCCAGGAGAAGATAGTGCTAAGAAGAGTGAGGTGTGCTGGAACTCCAAGATCAGCCAGAAAAAGCACTCGGCTTTTACAGGGATGAGTAAATGAGACCAGAAAGAAATGAGGATACTAGCAGGTAAGAGGAATGTTTGCTATGAGATGCATTTGTAGCTAGTCTCTAGAAACAATACAAGTAGGAAATGAAGGCTTAAGGTAGAGTTGTAAATGGCCTAAGGCATGAAACACAGAGTCAAGATAAAATGAATGTGTCTTGGATCTGGGTATCTTTACTTGGCAGTTCAAGCCATAGTTGATCCCACCAGGAGACAGGGATGAGGGAAAGCTCCCTGTTCTTCTCAAATGCATTTCTTCCCAGGGTCATACCATTTGTGTCCAGAGATTTCTCCATGGATAATTGGCTACAAATGGAGTGAAAGATATAACTATTTCACACAGTGTTGCCAAGGGTAAGAGATATAATCAATTTTATTTCTTGTTTATTTTCTAGACACTTATATACAATGAAAAATAAAACAAAACATCAGTCGTATGTTTTCCCTTAAAGCATCTCATTCATACTTAGAAGAAAGTAATTTGTTTACTCCAATAAACATTTCAATAGCAGATATCTAAATCTTAAAGTCCTAGTTATGTTAATTGGAAATAATATATTTCACTTTCTGGTAATTCCATCACATTTTCTAGCCTTAAGAAACATTTTATGAATCTGGACAGTGAGGAGAAATGTATTTTAATAAGGTTTTTTTTTATTCTGAAAACACCATACAGAGGGGTTACAATCACATAAGCAAGGTAATGAGTACATTTCTTATCAAGCGTTGTTGCTGTAGCCTCCTCCCTTTTTTCCCCTTCCCATCTTTGCCCTCCCATTCCTCCCCCCTCCCCCCTCCCCCCAAAGCAGTAAAGTTCGTTTTTCCACATAGCATCTTGTACATTTCATTTTTGCAATGGGCCCACCTGTATTCCTATTTAAACGTTTGTTTTTTTCCTTCCCCTCCCAAAATTATACCAACATCAAATACAGTGAAAACGGGGGTTAAAATATAGTGAGAAACTTGTTCTTTAATTCCATATAGAATTTTTGTACTTTTTGTCACCTGTCCCTCAATAGATCTCCACTCCGTAACAAAATCTTCTCTGACACAAAACCCCAAGTATCATGAATGTAACTTGCAAAACTTCTCTGAAAATAGTTTGCGTCAGTTGCATGCTTTTCACTTTTATATTTTCTTAAATTTTTCAGAAAAGGTTTCACTCAATTGTTCGAATGCTAAAACGACATTATCATCTTCATTTTCACACAGTTCACGCAATGAAACACTGCAAATAGAAAGAAAGAAATGTTTCTAGCACCAATTTTAGTGACAATAAATATTATTGGTAGGCAGAAGTATATCCCATAAAATGATGAGGTAATATTAACAAAATGGGAAGAAGGAGGAGGAGGAGGAGGAGGAGGAGGAGGACAGTGGAGAGGAGGAAGGGGGAGAAGAGAAAGAAGAGAAGGTAGAGGAGGAAAGGGAGGAAGAGGAAGAAGAGAAGGAGGAGGGAGAAAAAGAGGAGGAGGAAGAAGAGGAGAAGGAGGGGGAAACATTTCTTTGTAGCTGTGTGCCAGTAGCTCAAGCCTGTAATCCTGGCTACTCAAGAGGCTGAAATCTGAGGATCACAGTTGAAAGCTAGCCTGGGTAGAAAAGTCCGTGAGACTCATCTCTAAGAAACTACTCAAACAAGCTGGAAGTAGAGCTCTATTTTGAATGGTAGAGTGTTACCCTTGAGCAAAAGAAGCTCAAGGGCAGTGCCCAGGCTCTGAGTTCACACCCCAGTACTAGTACACACAAAAAAATAATTCTTTGTAAGAATCTACAAAAATATAAAAATAAAAACAATGGAGGAGGGGAGGGAAGAAACAGAACAAAAAATCTTCTATGTAGTTCCTCTGTTACCAAGAGTATTTGAAACATCACCAACTTCCATGTGGCTTGACCACCTCTCTCTTTCAAACAGTACAACATAAATTCCCTTTCTTTTTTTTTTTTTTTTTTGGGGGGGGGGGTGTCAGGTTGTGTGTGGGGCCTGAACTCTGGGCCTGGGCACTGTCCCTCAGCTCTTCAACTCAAGGCTAGCACTCTACCACTTGAGCCACAGCGCCACTTCCGGCTTTATTCTTCTTGCTTATGTGGTGCTGGGGAATCCAACCCAGGCCTCAGGCATGCAAGGCAAGCGCTCTACCACTGAGCCACCTTCCCAGCCCCTTTCTTTTTTATTTCATCCAAGAGTCCTTCTCTAAAACCAAGTAGCGTCACTCCCTATAGTGTGTGTGTGTGTGTGCATATGTGTGTGTGGGGGGGGGGGTGTGTATGTGTGTGTGTGTGTGCACGTGTGTGTGTGTGTGTGTGTGTGTTCAACTCCACTAGAAATTATTTTGTGTTAGGTTCTTAAAAAGAGGTAGCCGAGTAAGAACAGCAGCACGCACGTGGTATTCAGGTAAGGGGTAGGTTTATTCAGTAGACCTGCTGGGACCAGGCAAGGTTGGCACTCCACGTGGCTGGGAAAGGCCTGGGAATGAGAGAGAGCTGGGAAAGAGAGGAAAGAGCTAGAAAAGAGCAGAGAGAGCTAGAAAAGAGCAGCGAGAGAGCAGAGAGAGCTAGAAAAGAGCAGCGAGAGAGCATCTGGGCCTGCGCTAGGCCTTATGTAGGGTATGGGCGGGGAAAGGTGTGGCCACATCAAATTCAGATGTGACCTCTTCCAGGTGTCCCAGTTGCATAGGTAATACAGGTACTGGGTGGAGACTTTGCTGCGAGGAGGGTGGAGTCTGCTGGCCATCCAGGAGCGGACCTTACAGTAAGTAAGTGTAAATTTACTGATTTTCCATCTCAAGTGCTTACAGGTGTCTCAAGCTGATAATACTTCCATACATACTTGTCAAATGAATATATGAATGGATGATGTTTTGTTGTCAGCCATGGGGCTTGAACTCAGGGCCTGGGCACTGTCCCTTAGCTCTTTTGTCATTTAACCAGGCACCATTAGATGACTAATGAGCACTAAGGATAGAGGGAATCAATATGAAGTTTGATAGTATGTGACTTTCCAGTGGGCTCTGTTGGATATACAAGAAGCCAAAATGAGAAAATGCTGGTTTAAGCAAGAGATTGATAAGTATGCAAGTGGTATAGAGACTTGATGCCCCTCAGCTGGTGCTTTCAGTGATCATATATTTGACACACGTTGCTTGTGACAATGGACACTATTGGGGTCTCAGCTCCATAAATCCTTGGAATATTGTTGCCTGTTAATGTACAATGCCTTGAGCTGAGGCTGGAGTCTGGTGGAATTTAATATCCATAGATTTTGGAACTCCTTCTACCACAGAAACACGCAACATGGTATTGAGAAGTTCTGCCAACTCCCTAGGAAGCTGAAATGTCTAAGATGTAAGTTGTTCAATGCCATCTTCACAAAAAGAACTCAACTTATTTTGCAATTCGAATTAAAAATATAAAGTGAGTATTTAAATAGATAACATACCTGATAGACTTAACAGTGAGTGAAAAATCTTTCAACAAGTTGTAAGCTTCTCCTTCATTTATTCTAAATAGCAAAAAAGACAAAAATGGTATAGTACCACTTATTAATTTAACAGCAACTTTGTTCACAATAATAAATTAAATTTAGAAAACAAAACTGTCTTGCAGGTATAGTGGTGCACACCTGTAATCCCAACACTGAGGAGGCTGAGGCAAATGTATCATGAGTTCAAGGCAAGCCCAGGTTACATAGTGAGACCCTGTCTCAAACACACACACACACACACACACACATACACACAAACTCACAAATACTTCACATTTCTGAAGAGCACTGGCATTTACATTTCTTTGCTTTAATAAGGATTATTCATATTTTACTTTAAAAATATTGAATTCGTGATTTTGATAAGTCCATCTCTATATCTATATGCTCATCACTGGAGCCATTTCCTCCCTTCCCAGATAAACCAAATGTTTATTCCTGCTTGCTTTTGTGGATGGTTAATTGGAGATAAGAGTCTCATGAACTTTGCTGCCAGGACTGGTTTTGAACCATGATCCTCAGATCACAGCCTCCTGAGTAGCTAGGATTACAAGAGTAAGTCACTGGCACCTAGCCCTGCTTGGTACATTTGAAAATGCCTTCCCTGCCAAAGAGCTACAGCAATTGTCATGGTCTCAGACTTCAAATATGTGAATTACATTCTTTACATATTAATCTCATCAAAAACTAGACAACGAGGGCTGTCATTTGTCATCCAGCATAAAAATAACTCATAATGAATAAATAGAATAACAATAAGTTGGAATATATCTGAGTATTCACAAATATTTAGATCTTTAGTGTATTCCTTTGTGTCAAGTAAGCTGGCCTAAATGCCAAGAGTTTGTGGTAAACAATACCAAAATAGTATAGAATGTGTCATTGTCTGTTGCCATTAAACTTGTCAAGAAAAAAAAATCTAATTTGTTTATCGTGGTTAGCCTATATCTGAAGTTATAAGGATGATTTTTCTCTCAAATTCATTGAATTCATTCCTTAGAGATACACAGGGAGAGACAGAGACAGAGACAGAGAGAGGGACAGAGAGAGATCATACCTGTTGTCCTGGACTAACCCTTTCAAGGAGCCATGTTTGTAGAAGTCAAGTATGTAAGCATTAAGTGGCATTCTTCTTCCTTGACTGTCAAAATTTTGTGGCAACAGTAAAGGAGCCTGAGCATAACTAATACCAAGGGTGCGTAAAATGTTCTAAAAAACAAAAACACCAAAAACTTGTTAATTTGGAAGGCAAGTTAGTAGTTTCTTACACGCTACCTGGTAGCAGTTCCCTTGCATAAGCAATACACACTATTCATGATGAAAAAGGAGCCACTTTAGCTCCATCCATGCAAATGACAGCTTTCATTAAAAGCAAGTTCAACCACTGAACTACAGAAACAGACTAAGAAAAAAAGAAACCTGATTTAGAATCGGAACTGTATGATTGTCAATGTAGATCAGATGCCTGTGCAAACAGAGCATCAGAAACTTATGAAGTTGCATGTCAGAAGAGAAAACATGTCTAATGATCTTTTAGAACTCAGCTACCAAAATTTTTTATTTTAAAAAAGGAGAAGAATCAAAGAGAGGACAATCAAAAGAGAAAGAAAGCAAATAAAGTTTTCTGTGTCCACTCATTTTGGCAAACTTTATTATCTAGAGTCACTAGAAAATCTAGAATGCATCTAGTGAGAATACAAATTGGACCGATAACTTTCTAAAATGAGTGAATAGTAGTAGCCTGTAAACTTGAGCATTTGAGTATTTTATTTTCTTAGGACACAGAAAATCCTTTTAACCCAGGAAAAGCTATACTTCAGAGAAATTTATATATGTGCATTAGGCATTCGTGGCAAAAGAAGAATTTGGAAACAGATCAGTCATTAGCAGCAGATACAAATGAAATATAAAATATTATAAAGTAGTTAAAAATAAAATACAGATCAATTTCCCAACACAGATGAATCTTCTTGAGGTAGCATTAAATCCACAATTTAAGAAAAATCACTTCAAGAGTATATATCCCTCACTTTGAAAGATTTAAATGCAAGGATAAGTAATGTGTGATTTCGTGATAGAAGTTTTTAAAAGAAGAACAAAAAACAAAGTTTGGGAAACTTTAAGGAAGAGGAAGAAGGGATATCAGGAAGTGAAACAAAGGAGAAGCCTATGTACCTCAAGCCATAGGAGTTCATTCTAGTTTTGTGCTTTGTGTTCAGTTTATTCTAAACCATTTAAAGAAATGCACGAATGCATGCTTAGTATTGTGCTCAGCTACAAAAAAAAAAAAAATACTAAAAGCAAATGGAGTTGAATTGATTACAAGTTGCAGTAAGGACATGCTACAGCCAAGCAATATTCTAAATGTTCACCTGTGCAAGGTGCTTCAAATTAAATGAAACAGGAACCTACCCACTTTTTCAAGAACTCCATCAGGAACAACTCTGAGTAAGAATGAGTTCGTGACCTGTGCTTCAAAGGTATCTTCTGACTGATGGGATACCACTTGTATCACAATGAGGCAGCCTTCCTATTCTATTGTTACTGTATCAGTGGCCCTCTGAAACCTCATGGGGAAAACTTTGTATAAAGAGAGGAAGCAAAGGCAAATGGTAGGTACCAATGTCTTATAAATCAAATTAATGACATAGCACACAGAAAGGGGAAATCAATGCTTAACAACTCATATGGCTTTGTGCAATGGTTCTAACTACAAACTTCTTAGCTTATCATCCTCCATCTATAATACAAGAAACAAAGTTTTCTAAAATTATCATTCTCCTGTGTAATCTTTTATCATTTGTATGGCAGGGTTCAAGCAGTGGTTAATAAGTCATCACTGAGACTGGAGGGAAAGTTCTAGAGTTCTGTTCAGAAAAGTCATCCTTCACTTACACGGTGTGGAATTTCAGGATAAAGCAAATCATCATCAAAGTTGCCAGAGAGAGAGACAAACGGGGACACTGCCCCTCTTCCTTGGGTGCAGTTCATCAAGTGAGCCACCAGTGGAGAGTCGGCGCATTCTTGGCCGATGAATTCTGAGCAGAGTAAATGGGAAGAGCTTCATATTTAAAATCAGCCAAATTGTCACAGTGATCTACTTTTCTGGGACCATGCTACACAAGAAAGCCATTCAACTTTCCAGCCATACTTCCCAAGGAACACTGAATAAGCTAAATGACATCAAGCCAGTAGTAGCTTGGCTTAGAACAGGACATCTTGTCAAATTGGTAAAAAAAAAAAAAAAAAAAAAATCAATTCTGCACTGGTTTTATAGCAGATTATTGGAATCTTGAAGCTTTTCCCCAATAAGTATAGAATTGACTTGGCCATTGCATTCCCGTCAGCCACTCTTAGAAGTTTGAAAATAGCCAATGAGAAGACATATATCGCTATTCATGCTCTTTATGCTCCAAGTCATACACAAGTCAATCTGGACTCTAGTACATAATTACAGCTCTCATCTCACCACCCTTGTGAGATTCCCTGTGCTCCACACCATTCCTGTCTGCTGCTGTTCTAACTTCCTTCTACTTTAATAGAACCCAGGAAGCTACACACTATACGTCCTTCCATTGTTCCAGTAGAGAATGGTAAGGTAGAGCAAACCAGGATGGTACTGCTCAAGGCTCTTCCTTTACCTAAATCCCCTTTCCCTTCTGATTTTCTGTGAAGGTCTCCAGCTGTTACTGACAAAATAGAAAAAGAAAAAGAAAACAGCAAATCCCCATTGTGCCAAGTACTGTTATAAGATTTTCACGTTATTCAAAGCTCATTATCATATATCTGATGAGGAGACACAGGCAATGGTAATGGGGTCACTTGCCCAAGAACTCACTGTTAAAGAGCAAAGCCAGGGTTTGGACTCAGGGAATCGGCCCAGAGCTTAACCTTAGGAATCCAGTACACTCAAGGAAAAGTTACAGCATTAGTCTCTAATTTCTCTTTATGTCCCAGACATCCTTACTCTATGCTCCAGACTTGAATCAAAGCCAACCTTTCATCAAAGCTGTTTATAAATAATGATTTATTCTCACTCTTCACTGACCTAACAAGCAGTTTCTTTGGATAGCAGAAGGAACCCCCTTCTCTTGATATTAAATATATATTCTTTTTTTAAAGGCAATGCTGGGACTTGAACCCAGGTTCTCAAGCCTGACAGGCCAATACTCCACCATCAAGCTACATCCCATATCGCTGCCTGAGATAAAAATGCAAGGTTATTCATTCTTAAATTGGTCTACAGTGAAGCCAGAAGATACTTACGGGTTTTTGACAGTGGGAGTTCGCATTCCTGTTTCATATCAGCCAATCTGGACACAATTAGTAGAAAAGAAGTAAAATCCTGTGTAACTTTGCTGTTATAGTCTTCCAAAGCTGCTTTGAAATCCGTGGGGAGCTTTTCAAGAAACACCTAGAGGCCAAATGTTTTTTTGATAGCTGTAAGACCACTCTCTTATGAATTGATGAAATCAAGTGATAAAATTAAGATAAAGCTTATTTTTGTTTCTATTTGCATTTATGACAATTCTCTGCTTTGTACCAGGGCCAGCCTCCATTCTTGATCCTCCAATCTTAATCCTCCAAAGTAGCTTAGATTATAGACATTCACCACTCACCACTGCCTGGCTTGTTTATTGAAACGGAAGTCTCATTAACTTTTTACCAGCTAACTTCAAATTGTAGCCATCCTGTTCTTTACTTCTCATGTAGCTAAAATTATAGTCATATACCAGCATGTCAGGCTTTGTTATAAATGAGAACTTATTTTAAGGTGCTAAGATTTGAACTCAAGGATTTATACTTGTGCTAGGGGTGGCTCAAGCTCTCTACCACTTGAGGCCCACTCCCAGCCCCTAATTTTATTCTACTTTTATTTTCAGCTACTCTTGAGGTTATAAATATTTTTTACTCTCTACAAAGATCTAACAGGCGCTGTTGACTGCATCCTTACACAATTGTTTTCAATGATCTGCATGTCTACTTTCATCTTATTATTCCATTCACTCTATTTATAGTAGGTTGTATTTTCTTGGTTTTTAACTAGCTTCTTAACCTGTTTTTTTGTGTGTGTGAAAATACTGTACAGAGGGGTTACAATTACATGGGCAAGATAATGAGTACATTTCTTATCAAGCATTGTAGCCTCCTCCTTTGTTTCTCCTTCCCCTTCCCATCCTCCCCCCCCCCCCCACCCCCGCCCCACACCAAAGTTGTAAAGTTCTTAACCTGTTTTTTTGGCAATCCTTTTTTCCCAATATATGGTTTCAAAATTTTGGATTTGCCACTAAGCATCCAAAAGTTTGAACTCAGGACTTTCTGCTTACAGAACAGGCACTCTACTACTTGAGCCCCACTTCCAACTCAAAGATGTCTTAAGTGAATTACAAGCTTATGCATAAGGCAGATCCAGATACTTCTCTCTGACAAGATTTTTGTTTTATAAATGCTATAATCCCTGGGCACCAGTGGCTCATGCCTATAAATTCTAGCAACTCAGAAGGCTGAGGTCTGAGGACTGAACATCCAATTAGCCACCAAAAAGTAGGAAGTAGAGCTGTGGCTCAAGTAGTAGAGTACTAACCTTGAGCAAAAAGGAAACTCAGGGATGGTGCTTAAGTCCTGAGTTCAAGCCCCAGGACCAGCAAAAAAATAAAATAAATGCTATAATTTTCCAGGGTTTTTGTCTATCTCTTAAAACTTTTTATGGAGCACCACAACTTTTCATGAGTACGTGTTACTTGGTAAATGTCCTGTGATGAAAACCTCCTATCTATATCAAATTTCTAGCCTGTTACTTCAAACCTATATGGTCATGAACAACTTGATTGAGCATTTTCAATCTCACTGGAAAGGCCATCTGCATATGATTTATACAACATTTGGCCCATGCCCAAAGCTGACAAATTGTCTAAAACCAACATCTATATTGGAGGTTCCTATAATACCTTGGAAACATTCTTGTCACTAAGAATTCAAATTGTATCTAGGTCCTTATTGCTTTCACAACTCTTAGTTGCAGTAAGATTCACAACCATGGGCTGGGAAGGTGGCTCAGTGGTAGAGTGTTTGCCTCACATGCATGAGGCCCTGGGTTCGATTCCTCAGCACCACATAAACAAAAAAAGTCAGAAGTGGTGCTGTGGCTCAAGTGGTAAAGGGCTAGCCTTGAGCTGAAGAGCTGAGGGACAGTGCCCAGGCCCAGAGTTCAAGCCCCACGACTGACCAAAAAAAAAAAAAAAAAAAGAGTCACAACCATCTACTACATATTACCTGGAAATGCATCAGCTCCCATTATCTTTGGGGGATGGGGAGGGTGGGCAGCAGGTCTCTACTAAGAATATTTTTTATTATATTTATTTTACAATAAATATATTTTACTTTAAAAAGAAAATAGACTTGCCAAGTTTTCTTTTGTTTGAATATCAAACTGGAACAATTAATATTTTAAGAATATACGTGTAGTAGCAAAATATTAAAATGATGCCAGGCACCAGTGGCTCATGCCTGTAATCCTAGCTATTCAGGAGGCTGAGATCTGAGGTTCAAAGCCAGACCATGCAGGAAAGTCACTGATACTCTTATTTCCAATAAACCACTCAAAAAAGCCAGAAGTAGCACTGTAGCTCCAGTGGAAGAGCTCTAGCCTTGAGCACAAAGAGGCTCAGGGACAGCCCCTAGGCCTTGAGTTCAAGCCACAGGACTGCCCACAATTTTTTAAAAGGAAAAGCATTGAAATGATAGATCAAGAGTTAAGTTGTTTGCTCTGAGCCTTAAGGATACTCTGTGACTGCAGAGTTCTTACTCAACATTGTAGAGTTAAGACAGCATGTACTAACTTCTCGTGTGTCACTGAGGTGATCGATACAAACCAGCTTTCCCTATGTTCTCAGATTCCCGTGAGCCACTTCGGCAGTATTATTTGATATTGATTTAATAATGGGGGAGGAGGGGAAGTATGAGGGTCATGACCAAAGAAGATGTTACACATAAAATTGGAAAATAGTTTCCATGATTTTGGACTTTATAAGCCAAACATGACTATTCTACTGCTTTCAGGTCACAACATAGACTCTTTCAACTCAAGGTGAAGATCTCATAAGGAACTGTAGACTCCCCAGTGGGGAGTCTTGATGGGGTTAAGTGTGTAAAAATTCCCTACAGCTTCCATCTCTTGTTGCTTTCACATAATACAATCAAGTGAAAAATATAAGTAAAACTTCTATTCTATTTTTCCTCAAAGTTTTTAACTTTGGACAGCTTTACAGAGAGAGAGTTTTGAATTACAGATTACATATCTGAGCGATTACAAAAAGAACCAGCTATTTTACAAAACAAATGGCCTATATCCATAAAATCCTATCACCACTGTTCTAGCAAACCTATTTAATTATGTTAAATTAATCAATTTTATCAAAATCATACCCTTTACCTTTGATTGATAAAACTTGGTGTCAGCATCTTGTAACTTTGCTGGAAGAAACCGTCTTCCAAACAGATTTGCGAGGACCAACACCAACTTTTGCATAGTATCTTCAGAAAAGCGTTTAGAGCCTACATAAAACAAAGTGCCATCTTATAAATGTGAGGAGTATCAGTGTTGTGTGTGTAAGTTATATTGCATTACATCTCATAGAAACTAAATGCTTGAACTAAACACGGGAACTGAAGCAAAGCTACATTTGCAAATAGTTTCAACTTGCTGCTTTTTATTTATTTATTTTTACTCCAGTTTAGAACCCAGTTATCCCAATCAGGAATTCTCTAATCGCTTCACCTCTATTTCTCCAACTTTTCGCTCTCCCAGTATATGATCAGATTTCAATGGCATGAGTTCAATACAGATACACACAAACATACACACACACACACACACACACACACACACACACACACACACACACACACACTTTTAGTTTCGCATTAAAGGCTTTTGACTTATCTATCTTGTCTTTCCTTCTTTCCAAGTATACTTATTATCTACATGTTTTCTTCTATTCATGCTCATTATCCACTTGGAACACTTTCTTCTACTCATACTTATGGATATTTAATAGCTTGGTCTCTAGTGTCTAACTACTTGTATTTGAATCTTGGATAGTTTTATTAAAAGTAAAGGACTTCCAGGAGCTGGTGGCTCACATCTGTAATCCTTGCTACTCAGGAGACTGAGATCTGAAGATCGCAGTTCAAAGCCCACTCAGGCAGAAAAGTCCACAAGACTCTTATGTTCAGTTAGCCACTCAAAAACTGGAAGTAGATCAGTGGCTCAAAGTGGTAGATTACTAGCTTTGAGCAGAAAAGCTCAGGACTGTCCTCAGGCCCTGAGTTCAAGCCCCACAACCAAAACTAAAAAAGTAGTGAAGGACCATTTTGTTCACGTGTGAAATAATAATGCTAATCATTGCTATCTACAAAACAGTTACTAGACTCAACCACCCACTCATACACTAGCAAACAAAACTATACTTTCTATTTCTTGAAATTAATTCTCCTCTCATACAGCAAATGATCTTGTGTCATATAACTGAATTTTTAGAGCATAGTGATTAGACCATTTGTGCAAACTAGAGTGTTCCTATGAATACATGATAAATATCGTGAAAGGCATTGAATTCATCAAGTGTTAGAAAACATATCAACTTTAAGCATAAATATAAGACCCCCTAGGTAAGGATTTAAGGGGTGTGTGTGTGTGTGTGTGTGTGTGTGTGTGTGTGTGTGTGTGTGTGTGTGTGTGTGTGTGTGTGTGTGTGTGTGTGTGTGTGTGTGTGTGTGTGTGTGTGTGTGTGTGTGTGTGTGTGTGTGTGTGTGTGTGTGTCCTGGGGCTTGAACTCAGGGCTTGGGCATGGTCCTTGAGCTTTTGTACTCAAGGCTAGCATTCTCCCACTGCAAGCCATAGCACCATTTCCAGCTTTTTGGTACTTAATTGGAGAAAATAGTCTCAAAGATTTTCCTACCAGGGTTGGCTTTGAACAGCAATCCTCAGATCCCAGTTTCCTGATTAAGTAGGATTATAGGTATGAACTATCAATGCCTAGGGATTTTAATTTTTAAAATGCATGAAATGGAATTTGTAAATTTACATGGTATAAGTGAAAAAAGAAATTAAAATGTTTAGGAGAAACAGTCTGGGTCACGCAACTAATACAATGCTAGTAGTTTAAAGTAAAATATATAATTATATTCTAAGGGAATATGATTATGAGAAAATATTTACAAATAATAATATTTATCTGAATAATTGATTTTAAATATAAAATTTTTAATTTTTTTCACCTTTTCTAATATTCTGTGATAAGCATTAATTTGAAAAAAATATTTTCTAAAAATTGTATTTTAATCAAATGCTCTCAATCCTGGAGAAAAACTATTACTGAAGTTGATACTTTCAAAACAATCACACTTTAAAATAGTTGTTAACAAACCATGTCTCCACAACACTTGTATTACTCTTAAACCATTTTTACACTAAATTTGAAGATCTGCAAAATATATATATCCTAACTGCATTATATTTTTAGGTGACAACTCTACAACTCTATTGCTATTTTAGTAACATGCATTGATGAATACATAAATGTATATATTATGTATGTATACACATTTTTATGTGTATACATTTATTATATGTGTACATGTGTATATACATTTATTATATATATTCATATGAAAATGGCAAGCTCACCTTTCTTAGTTGGCTGACAAAGCTTATGGAAAAGACCATTTACAAGAAAATTGACAAAAACAAGATTAGAAGGTTCGTGATAGTGCAAATGTGATACAAGTCCAGCAAACCCTGTGGGGTTACCATCTCGATCAATATAGCCCTAAAGAACAAAAATAACTTATTAGTTTTATTCAGCTCCCCACAAGATTGACAAATATCATCAGTTTCCTGTTTCAAATAGTACTTAATGACAATATGAGATGGATAACTTATTACCTAGCTCAATTTTGGTATTCCCATTAACTATGAATAATATTGTACATAATCCTGTAAAGACTTGCAATTAGTTTGGCATAGTAAAAAAATCTAGAAAATTGCAAATGTATTTCTCAAAATCTCTCTCTCTCTCTCTCTCTCTCTCTCTCTCTCACACACACACACACACACACACACACACACACACACACACACACACACACACCGAACAAGGCATGATTATACCTCTTTCACCAGGAATTGCAAGGTAAACAAGAAATACAGCTTTAAAATCTCCATAATTTTGGGTTGTTTGAAAGACAGCAGTGAGTGCTTTAGCACTGACAACACCTGGAAGAAAGAACACACGAACACATTTATTCACACATGTTAAAAATGTCTGTATAATATATAACCACTTGTGATAATATACAATAGGTAGTATACATATCTATTATATCACCCAGATATCAGCAGTACATATACAACTCAGCTAGATTTTATAACATTTCTTAATTGTGTTGTATTTTTTTTAATTGTAAAGCTACTATACAGAGGGTTACAGTTACATGAGTGAGGTTATGAGTACACTTCCTCTTGAACATTGTTACCCCCCTCCATTGTTTTCCCCCTACCATCCCCTCCCTCCCTCCCTTCCCCGAGGTTCTTTTTTTTTTTTTTTTGATTGTGATTAAATGATTACATAATTTCAAAGTCACAAGTTCATTCTAACTTCCCTGGAGCAAATTGTCTACCACAGTCTATAATATATAACAGTGTTCACATGTTATATACCATATTTGTGATCAGCAGCATGGGGATATTTAGTAGTGGTTCAACCAGATGAGCGGGAGTTCTTTGTTTCTTAAGTCCTGTTAGTTTTATCGTATCACCTAACCTTTTGGATTTAGCATCCACTTATCAGGGAGACCATGTACCGTTTGTCTCTTCGTTCTTGGCTTACCTTGCTCAACATGATTCCTTCTAGCTCCATCCATTTCCCTGCAAATGCCATTATTTTGTCATTTCTAATGGCTGCATAATATTCCATTGTGTATAGATACCACAATTTTTGGATCCATTCATCTGTGGTGGGGCATCTAGGTTGTTTCCATATCCTGGCTATTGCGAACAGTGCTGCAATAAACACGGAGGTGCACGTGTCCTTGTATATTGGTTCCTGTTGTTCAGGGTAGATGCCTAGAAGTGGTATGACTGGGTCGTAAGGGAGGTCAATCTTTAGCTTTCTAAGGACCCTCCAGACTGCTTTCCAAAGTGGTTGTATAAGTGTACATTCCCACCAGCAGTGTAACAGGGTTCCTCTTTCTCCACATCCCCTCCAGCATTTGTCGTTGGCTGATTTGTGGATGTGGGACATTCTGACTGGGGTAAGGTGGTATCTCAGGGTTGTCTTTATTTGCATTTCCTTCACCACCAGGGATGATGAACATTTCCTCATGTGTTTCTTTGCCATTTTTATTTCTTCATTTGAGAAGTCCCTCTTTAGTTCCCTTGCCCATTTAGTAATTGGTTTGTTAGGTTTGGGAGGGATTAGTTTCTTGAGTTCCCTGTATATACAGGATGTTAACCCCTTGTCTGATATATTGCTGGTAAATATTTTTTCCCAATTAGTTGGTTGTCTTTCTAGCTTAGTTGCGATAGATTTAGCTGTGCAGAAGCTTTTTATTTTAAGGTAGTCCCATTTGTCGAGTCTCTCTCCAACTTGTTGTGACCCTGGGACTCTGTTCAGGAAATTCCTTCCTGTGCCTATTAGTTCAAGTGTCTCTCCTACTCTGTCCTGTAGTAGTTTCAGAGATTCAGGTTTAATGTTAAGGTCTTTAATCCATTTTGAGTTGATGTTGGTGCATGGTGATAGGCTGGGGTCCACTTTTAGTTTTGTGCATGTGGCTGCCCAGTTTTCCCAGCACCAGCGGTTGAAGAGGCTGTGTTTCTTCCATTGTATGTCTTTGGCTCCTTTGTCGAATATCAGCTGGCTGTAGGCCTGTGGATTTATATCTGGATCTTCTATTCTGTTCCATTGGTCTTCGGGTCTGTTTTTGTGCCAGTACCATGCTGTCTTTGTGATTATAGCTCTGTAGTAGAGTTTGAAGTTCGTCATGGATAGCCCTCCCATATTGTCTTTATCCCCTAGAATTGTTTTGGCTATTCTAGGTCTTTTGTTGTTCCATATAAATTTTTGGACTGTTTTCTGTATTTCAGTGATGTACGTCATTGGGATTTTAATAGGCATTGCATTGAATTTGTATATTAGTTTTGGAAGTATCACCATCTTTACTATATTAAGTCGGCCTATCCAGGAGCATGGGAGGTCTTTCCATTTCCTAGTGTCTTCTGCAGTTTCTTTCTTTAACTTTTTATAGTTCTCATTAAATAGTTCTTTTACATCTTTGGTTAGGTTAATTCCTAAATATTTTATTTTTTGGGAGGTTATTGTGAATGGGGTTGCTCCCTTTATTTCCCTCTCTTCCTGTGCATTATCAGTGTATAGGAAGGCAACTGATTTTTGTGGGTTTATTTTGTATCCTGCTATTTTGCCGAAGTGACTTATGATTTCTAAAAGTTTGGGGATGGAGTTTTTGGGATCGTGGAGGTATAGTATCATGTCGTCTGCAAAAAGGGATAGTTTAACTTCTTCTTTCCCTATGCGGATCCCTTTAATGTCTTTTTCTTGCCTTATTGCCCTGGCTAAGGGTTCTAGGACTATATTGAAGAGGAGTGGAGACAGTGGACATCCTTGCCTTGTTCCTGTTTTTAGGAGGATTGGTTGTAGCTTTTCCCCATTAAGTATAATATTGGCTATTGGTCTGTCATAAATGGCTGGCTTTTATTGTTTTTAGAAATGTTCCTTCTATTCCTATTTTCTCCAGAGCTTTTAGCATGAATGAATGTTGAATTTTATCAAAGGCCTTTTCTGCATCTGTGGCGATAATCATGTGATTCTTGACCTTGGCTCTGTTGATATGCTGGATTACATTTATTGACTTACGTATGTTAAACCATCCCTGTGTCTCTGGGATGAAGCCTACCTGATCATAGTGTATTATTTTTTTTATGTGTTTCTGGATTCTGTTAGCTAGAATCTTGTTAAGGATCTTTGCATCTGTGTTCATCAAGGAGATTGGCCTGTAATTCTCCTTTTTGGTTGGGTCTTTGCCTGGTTTGGGGATGAGTGTGATATTGGCTTCGTAGAATGAGTTTGGGATAGCTCCCTCCTTCTCTGTTTCTCTGAAGAGCTTGAGGAGTATGGGTATTAGTTCTTCTTTAAAGGTCTTATAGAATTCTGCTGTGAATCCATCTGGTCCTGGGCTTTTTTTTGTTGGAAGACTTTTGATAGCTTCCTGTATCTCATTATAGGATATTGGCTTATTTAATTGGTTAACTTCTTCTTTGCTCAGTTTGGGTAACTTGTATTTCTCTAAAAATGCATCCATTTCCGCCAGATTTTCTTCCTTTAGAGAGTATACCTTTTGAAAGTAGTCTGTTAGAATTGTTTGGATATCTTGGGTACGTGTTGTGATGTTTCCCGTGGCATCCCTAATCCTATTAATATGGGTTTCCTCTCTTCTTTTTTTAATTAATCTTGCCAACGGGCCATCAATTTTGTTTATTTTTTCAAAGAACCAGCTTTTTGTTTGGTTTATTTTGGTTATGGTTTTCTGATTTTCTAATTGGTTAATCTCTGCTCTCAATTTGGTTATCTGGCTTCGTCTAGTAGCTTTAGGTCCCATTTTTTCTTGTTTTTCTAGCTGTTTTAGTTGCAACATGAGATTATTTACTTGGTCTGTCTCCATTCTCTTGATGTGGGCACTGAGGGCAATAAATTTGCCCCTCAGGACTGCTTTTGCTGTGTCCCACAAGTTTCTTTGTGAGGTGTTTTCATTTTCATTGAGTTGTAGGAAATGCTTTATTTCTTCTCTGATCTCTTCTGTTACCCAGGCCTTGTTAAGGAATGTGCTGTTCAATTTCCATGTATTAGAGAAATTTCTGCGGTATGCTTTGTTATTGAGAGCTAGCTTGATTCCACTGTGGTCAGATAGGATACAGGGGATTATGTCGATCCCTTTGTATTTGCTTAAGTTCCTTGCATGAACTATGATATGGTCTATTTTGGAGAAAGTTCCATGAGCTGCTGAGAAGAATGTGTACTGTGTTGTTTTAGGGTGAAATACTCGGTAGATGTCAGTTAATTCCGCTTGAAGTATGGCCTCACTTAATTCGGTAGCTTCTTTGCCAATCCTCTGGTTGGTAGACCTGTCCTTTGGTGAGAGTGGCGTGTTAAAGTCTCCTAGTATTATCGTATTGGGATCTATCTTATTCTGTAAGTTTGAGAGCATTTGTTTAACATATCTGGGTGCACCGATATTTGGGGCATATAAGTTGATGATGGTTATATCCTCCTCTTGGATTGTTCCCTTTATTAATATGTAGTGTCCGTCCTTGTCTTTCTGTACTGATTTTAATGAAAAGTTTATTTTGTCAGATATCAGGATAGCTACACCTGCTTTCTTATTGGGGGCATTTGATTGGTAGATCCTTTTCCACCCCTTCACTCTGAGTTTGTTTGTATGTTTGGCTGAGAGGTGGGTCTCCTGAAGGCAACAGATGGATGGGTCTTGTTTTCTGATCCAGTCCTCAGTTCGTTTTCTTTTAATTGGCGAATTCAGCCCATTTATATTAAGAGAAAGTATAGAGAGATGCATTGTTGTCCCTGCCATTCCGTTTTCCTAAGTTTTTCTTTTTTCCTTTCCTCCTGTGCTTGCTCAGTTAGACTTTGAGTAATGCCTGTTTGGGGCAGGTCCTAGTTCCTGGTTGCTTTCTTCAGGTTGTGTCCCCCCTCTTAGAATTCTTTGTAATGCTGGCTTAATGTTTATGTATTCATTTAGTTTTTCTTTGCTATTAAAAGTTTTCAGTTCTCCATCGAATGTGAATGCTAGCTTTGCCGGGTATATCAGTCTGGGTTGGCAGTTATTGGCTCTCAGGGCTCGTATGGTGCTTTCCCAGGCTTTTCTTGCATTCATTGTTTGTGTGGAGAGATCTGCAGTGATTCTAATTTTTTTCCCGTTGTAGTATAGCTCCTTCTTCATTTTTGCTGCATGCAGGATTGTTTCCTTATTATTCAGATCCATCATTGTTACTATAATGTGCCTAGAAGTGTTTCTCCTGGGATCTTGCTTGTTGGGTGTTCGATAAGCTTTTGTGATGTAGTTAAGATGGTCGTTTTTGAGGTGGGGAAAATTTTCATTGACTATCTTGTTAAATAGGTGTTGCATTCCCTTGCTCTGGAATTCCTCACCTTCGTCCACTCCGATTATGTGAAGGTTAAATTTTTTAGCATTATCTGCTTGCTCTTGAATTTCCCTTTGGTTTAATTTGAGTGATTTTTCCGTATCTGTCACTTTTTGGTCCAGTTGGTGTATTCTGTCTTCTGTATCTGACACTCTACCTTCCATTTCATTCACTCTGTTGACCGTGGCTTCTATTGTGGTTTGCATGGTGGAATGGATCCCTTTATGGATTCAATGTTGGTTCTCAGAGTACTGATCTCACCTCTCAATGAGGTGAGATCAGTATGCATTACCTCTAATTTGGCGTTTATCTCACTTCTTACTGAGGTTTGTGCAGCTTCTATTTTTGCATCCAACTTTTGTTTGATGTCCTGTATATCTTTTGATAGTTCATCCTTGTGCTCTTTCAATTTCTGATCCATTTCTCGCTTTATTTCTTGAGTCATTGCCTCCAGCAACCCTTGGATGTAGCTTTTGTCTTCCATTCCTGCTTTGCTCCCACTGGGGCTCTCCCCTGGGTGGCTGCTGGCTTTTGAGGTGAGCTTGCTGTCCTGGGTAGTGGTAAACCTTGTGATATTTCTCTGTGATTTTCGCATGGGGGTTCAGGAGACTGCTCTTCAATCTTGTTTTGGTGTGTCTGTCTTTGCTTGGTTGCTGATTCTGTATTGGTAGAGAGAGTCTGTGCCTGATCTGGATTCTGTTGGGAGCCTATTTCCAGCTGCTATTCTGACTTACTTAGGATTCTCAGCTCTCTGCTGTAGCAATTCCCGCCTTTGGAAGGGTTGAGCAGCCTAGACTGCTTGTGTTTGCTCCTGCGGGTGCTCTTGGGAAGATCAGATGCTTTGGATGCACTCTCCCAAATACTGGAGTCTGCTATGGGCTCCTGATGTGTTTTTGTTTGTTTGTTTTGGGCTGGTTGTGGGCTTGAACTCTAGGTTTGGGTGCTGTCCCTCAGCTCTTCAGCTCAAGGCTGGCACCCTACCATTTGAGTCAAAGCCCCACTTCTGACCCTTTTTGCTTTGTTCAGGTGCCGGTCCCCAGGCCTGGTTCCGGCCCCAGCCTGGAGCACGCTCGTTAGGCCTGTGCTAATGTGTATACCACCTAGGTTATGCAGCCTGGAGGACACAGTTCAAATTTCTTCTACTGTTGGTAGTCTTGACCCAGGGGCGCTGTTCCTGGCTTGGGCATTTAAGCTCCCTTCCAGGGGCGCTCTTGCTCTGGCCTGGCCAGCAGAGTGTGCTCCACCGGCTGGTGGAGCTCTCGAACAGTTCCCAGTTTTAGTGGGTCCTGTGGTCCGGGTGTTGGGGTAGGGAGTCTAGGTCAGGGTCTGGGGATTCCCTCCAGCTCTGGTCTCCCTTGAGGGATTCACTGTCCCCTGTGGGGTACTCACCCTGTAGGTCGTCAGTTGTTGTTGCAATCCGAGTTCAGTTGGGGTGGTTGCGGGCTGGGTTGGGCGGCCCCCCGCCGGGTTGCTGCGATCGCGATTGGGCGGGTGGTCTGCGGACAGGTCCCTTTGTCCCGCTGCTGGTGCCGGCGGGTTTGGCGGGATGGAGCCTCTCCGCTCCGGTGGAGAGTGATGGGTGGGGGTGGGATCCTCGTGGAGACTCCCAGCTGTTAGGTTTCTCTGTTCCTGGCGATCCGCTGTTCTGCAATCCGGTACCTGGTGATCTGCAAGCAGCCCCCTGTGTCTCTGTGGCTCCGGCAGCCCCCGCCGGGCCGGCTGGCCGGCGGCTTGGCGCACTGCCGCGCGGCCAGTAAAGGTTGGGGGAGGGGTCTTCGCTCTTCTCTGTTCTGAAATTCTTTTCCTCTCTTTCTTTTTTTGTTATTTTCCACCTCTGGTTTTTCTCTGAGTGTTTGTCTTTTTGTTGTTGTCGGTCTCTTGGGGAGATTAAACGTTGGAACTCGAACTCTCTTTTTGGTTGGAGAGAGCTGTGGCGTTTCCCTACTGCCCCGTCGCCATCTTGGTCCCCCCTCTTAATTGTGTTCTTAAAATGCACGTTCTTCCTTAAAATAAGCAGGGGCATGTAAAACAGAATATTCTGTGAGGAAGTATATTACCAAGCAATCTGTTAATAAAAGCCATTCCAGTTTAAGAGTTTATCAACTTGGTTTGTTTTGGAAGAAAAAGAAGTAAGGTATGTCAATCGATATCTTGCAATATTGTCGCAGTACTAATGGAACTAGGTTGGTTAAAATCAAAGGATTAAGTGCACTTCTTGGTTTCCGGCATCCAAAAGCACTGAAGCTTACACAGCTCTTAACTTCCTATTAAAATATGGATGGAGTCTCAATCAAAGGAAAATTTAATAACTTCCCCCAAGGGCGGGGGGGGGGGGGGGGGAGGGGAGATGTTATGATAAGGCCAGGGGACCTGCTGGAGGTAGAGAGGGACAAGAAAAGGGCTATATTCTTCATCTCTTTTACTATGAGATAATATTGATGAAGGGTTAACACACACACACACACACACACACACAAAAATCACCTTTCCTACCACCTCTTCTTCCTTGTGCATTGAGCTTAGAGTAAATGATGGAAAGAGCAGAGGAATAGGTAAGGAAATGAGGAACGCATGGTGGTTGGGTTTGTACTTTGGGTATATCCCTTAATTAAAGTCTTCCTAAGATGGGTTTTCCACACTGTGACAAAAGAACTGAGAAAAAATAACTTGAAAGAGGAAAGATTTATATGGTTCATGAGTTCTGATGTTCTCAATCCAATCCATGATCAGCTGACTTCGCTGCCTTGGGCCCTGTGCTAGGCACAGTATGGTGGAGCAAAGATGACTCATCACATAGGGGTCAGAAGCAGTGAGCAATGCTGTGAGCAAGAATGAGGATCCTAGCCTACTTATTGGTATCCCCCCCATTCAGGCGGGTATTCTTCTTAGCCTTTTGGATGGTACCACCCATACTCAAGTCAGGTCTTTCCCTCAATAGCTGTTGCCCATGCCAATCATCTCTCAAGACCTGTTCAGAAGTGTATTTCTCCTCTCCTAGGACTATCTCAATCCAAAGAGATTGTCGATCAAAATTATAAACACCATGGATAGTAAGAATCTGGAAACATCACCCATTGGATTTCTTGTGTAGTTTATAGTAATCTTCTGGCATCAACGGGTCAGAAAAACTGACTGAAGTAAAAGCTAGTCTTCAGTACAGAAAAGCTATGTCAAATGAAGATTCACAAATGCTGCTATTGGATCAAATCCATTCATTCAGCCTCAGACCTGAGGTATGTGAACAAGATTTAAGTGGACAGTACTTGCCAGAAGATATATCATACATCCTGTGGTTTAGAAAACCACCATATTTGGATAGAAGTATTTTCATTCACAAGTGAGATTATTTTTAAAATTCAACATAGAATTTATGAATATATTAGAAACCAAAAATGTGCTAATTCAAGTCCTTTTCACATCTCTTAAAAAAAAAAAAAACAATATCAAGGACAGAATTGAGGGTTTTAAGTTTAGTGATATTAGACCCCAAATTCTAGGTGAGCATAAAGTATCACCAAAAGGTTATAGCCATATTCTCATAACTATTTCAGAGTTAGAAAACCCAGATGCATTTATACCATAGAAAAAATAACTGGAAAAAAATCCAAATAACAACATGATTGTCTGTGACTAGTAATAGAACTAGGTGTGAGTTCTTTTTTCTTTCTCCAATCTTCATTTCCTAAATATTCTTCAATAAACTCGGGTTACTTTTTCGTGACAAATATACTTTTACTTGTTACAAAACTGTGTGTAGCCCACATCTTCCCATATCCTTAGCCAGCACCCTTAACTAGAATGAAAAAGTGTCTTCAGTCTCACATGGGAACAGTAACCCTGGTGGTTTGCAATGCCTATGCAGCCACTAGCTTGGTATCTGATGATAAATAGGAATAAAATTAAGCGTTATTACCCTCCCCTTCCCACAGGCCTCCCTAGAGCACATTACAAAGTGAGAAAAGGCTGGTAAGGGAAAAGCCTTATTGCACAGACTTCTAAAAGAGCAGCGACATCATCGATGATGGCTGTCTCACACCCAGTGCCCAGCACAGTACCTTAGCCTGGCCGTCTTCCTGATCATCTGCCTTGGAAGCCAGCAGCAGGAGTCTCAGGATCAGTGTTATACTGAAAGGAAACTGTCCCCTCAGCTCAGGAACTTTGGATTTTATGAGTTTTTCTACTTTGGGCTGTGGAATATCAAAGAAATATACATTTCCCAATAAGTCTTGACCTCGTCTTCCAGCACGGCCAGACATCTGCAAACAAAATGGAATCATCATGGAAAATTCCGTTAAGCATTTTTCTATCCTATCTTAGTATAAAAACAGTGCCATTTACATTGTTTTGGGGCAAGTAAATTATGCCTCTATCCAATCCTTCATTAACTGAGTATCCAACTATCGAAGGTTAGGAAACTGAGAAGAAAGCAGGACATTTATCATTGTTAAGTACTTCATGACGTTAATGATGCCATGTATTTGAACAATGACATCTAAAGCAGAGATTAACAGAGTAGACCTTGATTCCAAGTTCACGTGTAGCTAAGTTTTGCTACAGTATTTTTCCCCTTGCCTTCTCCTGTCCCTCTGCTCCCTTTCTCTCCGGTCTTCTCTCTCCCCTAACATATTGAACTACGAATTACAAAGTAAAGGCTGGGTACAAAATGAGGAGATGAAATTTCATTATGCACCTTGTAAAAGGCAGGTAAAGAAGGGACTCTTCGCAGAGCTATAGTACTTCTCATTTATTAGGTGTTTAGAAAGTGCTAAGTCTTCTTTGTTGTTTGTCTACCACAGAACTCAGCATTATCTGAAGTATGCACAATCTCCTATTCACATGGACTCTTTGGGCATGCGCAGTGGAAGAAAGCGGCATGCACTCATAATCCCAGAATGGGAGATCTGGTATTCAAACCCTAACATTGTATTTCCATCATCCAGTGCCCCAAATCCAAGACTTCCAAAGATTAGAGGAGAGTTTAAATAGAATAGAGAAGAAATAGAAACTCCAAGAACCTGGGGCTGACAAATTGGTAGAGTTATCAAAACATTCTTTTCATTAGAAACAAGGCCTGGTAAGCAGTGAGGTGAATAATGACTATTTTGAGGAGAAAGGAAGGAGGTACTGTGACAAAATTTTGAGTGTTGGGTATGACAGTTTATTTTGATACTGACAGCAGAAACATTAACCAAATGTTCCTAGTCAGGCAAACCCCATGAAGACAAACTACAGAAAATCAGGGAGAATATTCTAACAGTACAAGGCCAAGACTGAATGAAGACAGATGGTTGATATGGAGATCACAAAGCAAAAACTAAATAACAGAAGACATGAAAAAAGTGGGCTTGGTAGCAGGCCACTGAGGTATGCATTGTAACCTGTTTACAGATGAATGATTCACAAGTATTTTAGAATGCTATAGATGTGCATTATCAATACAATAAACAAGTTTATGCATCTCTCAATACCTGTCTGTAATTTAAAGCATCCAGATAGACTGAATTCTGAGCAAAAACTACAGACTTGCAAGGCATATTGATTCCTAAAGCAAGTGTTCCAGTTGCTGTCACCACCTAGAAAAGAATTAGACAATTACTTTGTGGAATAGCATTTTAATATAGCATAAGCATTTCATTATGTTAAGTGGAACGTACTTTGGATTGCAATAAAGCCACAGTAGGAAAGCTAAGTAGCTGAGACACACCTCTATTCCTACTTCATGAACACAGCAAGCACATTCTCAAATCCAGACCATTACAATGCTTTGCGCCAAGTGTATTTCTTCTAAACACGTTCTGTGTGGCCCCCTCCATTGTCTGTGTAATCATCACAGAAGAATTTCTCACCACAATAGCTAAAATCATCTTCCTGTACCACCACTGAAGATCTTTCCCTAGTATTAATAACTTCCTTAACAACATTAATTATTTGTTCATTTGGCTTCTTTCCCACTCTAACAACGTTCACCTTTTTATCCTCACCACCAACCATCCACAAGGGAACACTGTACTCACTATAATAAAGAATAGTTTTTTTTTCTGCTGATCCTAGGGGCCAGGATGCTGTCCTTGAGCTCTTTTGCTCAAGGTTAGCACTCTACCACTTGAGCCACAGAGCTACTTCTGGCTTTTTCTGAGTAGTTTATTAGAGATATGAGTTGATTGCCTGGGCTAGCATTGAACCAGAACCCTCAGATATCAGCCTCCTGAGTAGCTAGGATTATAGGTGTGAGCTGCCAGTGCCCAGCAATAAATACTTTTAAATAATCAAGAAATTTCTCTATAATAGGGCAATACAAATTTACAAACTCATTGCTCATTTTGTCTACTAAGTTTCTTTGAAGTTATATCCATAGAAATAATGTATCTCAATACTAAGAACAAGGTATCTTACTCCTGGATTTCTACAGTAACTAACAAGGAAATGAATGAGACAAAGTAAAGTTTATATGATCCAAAGTCTTATTCATTTTTTAAAAAATATCTCTACTTGTTTTATCTCTCTCTTTATATTGTCATATAAGATCTAGTTAATGTAAATATGCGAAGATATAGAGTAATTTTCTCTATTCTGCAATTGAGTTCTATGCATCTTTCAAATGCAGCACATCATCTATTACATGCTTCTCTAAAGTTAAATTAAAAAACAGAGAAAATGAGAATGCTACATCTAGACAAAAACTAGGATAAATAATTCTTATAAAAATAATTCTAGCTGGGAGCCTGTGGCTCATTCCTATAATACTAAATATACAGGTGGCGGGGAGGGGGGAGGCTGGGAAGGGATGTGAAGGATAAACAAAGGAGGAGGCTGCAATGCTTGGTAAGAAATGTACACATTATCCTGCCCATGTAACTGTAACTCCTCTGTACAGTATGTTCACAAATAAAATAAAATTAAATTAAAAAAAAAAAATAAAATAAATAAATATACAGGTGGCTGAGATCTGAGGCTCACTGTTTGAAGCCAGCTCAGGTCAGAAAAGTCTGTGAGACTCTTATCTCCAATTAATCAGCAAAAAAAAAAAAAAAAAAAAAAAAAGCCAGAAGTGGAGCTATGGCGAAAAGTGGTAGAGTGCGAGCCTTGAGCAAAAAAACTCAGAGACAGCTCCCAGGCCCTGAGTTCAAGCCCCAGTACCAGCACACACACACACACACACACACACACACACACACACACACACACACACACACACACACACACACACACACACGTAATTTTAACAAAGACATCAATGTTTCATAATAGCTCTTCAAAATAATGTAGTCACTTAATCATTAAATTATCAGTAATTGTGGCTTTAGACACAGGATAGGCTGATCAAAACAGGTGGCTCATTTTCCCCTCAATTCATAATCATGTAGAAAATTGTGTCTATGATTATGAACCTTTAAAATAAATAAATACATTTTATTAGTTAAGAGAAAAGCTAAGAAAAGTTAGTATATTTTGAGTTTTTCCAGAAAACAGAATTTCCCTTTTAACTGTCATGTCCGATATTTTGAGTAACATGTCATTGTTTTTTTGTGATAGGAAGATATTGAATGATATACCAGACTATCCTTCTTTCCCTCTATTTTCTCTCTTTCAGACATACCGATAGTTATAATATATGCCATATCCAATTTAAGATGGATAAATTTTAGAAGTCTGATTTTGTTTTAGAATATCACTCAGATTCAAGGTCACTGGGAAATTATCTAAACCTTCCTCAGGGATGCCCATGGATTCACTGTGCAAACAGGGTTCATTTGAAAGGTTACAATTAATCTCTCTCTTGTCCATTTACCAGCGACAGGTGGGACTGGGCTTAGGAGAGACATATGCAAAAACTGTGCTGAGACCAGCGGCCGATGCCAAGCAAGCATGTGTTCTTATCTCATTTCAGTTATTCTATTAGGATCAGATCTGACCAAAACTCTACTACAAATATCCTCCATGCATGTGAAAAAAACATCTGTATTCAAAATCAAATAAACAGTAGACCAAGATTATAAATAAAATACCAAGGGGTGATGGCCAAATTCACCGGAGGCATATTTCACTCTGGAAACATTTGGAAAAGTCTGCTTGAGAAATATTTTTTCTTCTTAATTAAAAAAGGACAAACTGAATGATCCCCCTCCCCCACTTAAATGAGACAGGTGCAATCACATCACAGTCATATTATTTTTGTGACCCAAACAGCAATAAAAATTATAACATAATACAGAACAGAAAAGGCAATTCAATTTTTATTTCATGGACATGCACCATCATGTAATCATAATTTCCATTTGCAGTGAAAAAAATAATCATTTACCTACCCTAATAAACCCTTTCCTAAAGAGGATTTCCACCAACTGTTTTTCTTTGGCACTCATGGCACTGTAATGGTAGCCAACACCCCTTCTTGCCAGAGCTTTCAATTGGTCACCTTTTCTTTCAAATTTTACTCGGTTAAACACCATCTGCAAATACTAAAAAAAGAGGCAAGAAGGTTAAGGTGTCTTGATTATTTCTTACCTATTTTTAACTTAAATGAAAATTATTTAAAGTTCATATTTCGACATAACGGTCTTGTACATCCCATTGTTGCAATGGGTCCACCTATATGGGGCAGGGAGGGGAGGGAGATGGGAAGGGATGGGAAGGGAAAACAAAGGAGGAGGCAACAATGCCAACTCCAGAATTTGGCTAAATGAGGCCGTGGTTAGAACTGAACTCTACTTAAACAGGAGAGGAATTTAAGGTAACAACAGTTAAGTACAAGAAATATTTTCTAAGTTGATATTAGGCAAAATGAACCCCAAGATAAGGATTGAAATGGTTTTTCTTTCTTGCTATTGTTTCTAACATATTTATAAGATGATTTCTTTGTTGCTTTGGATGTCCCTCCCCCACGGTATAACACCTGTTTTCACTTTATTTGATGTTGATATAATTTGTGGAGGGGAAGGGAAAAAACAAATCGTTTAAATAGGGATACAGGTGGACCCATTGCAATAATGAGATGTACAAGTCATTATGTTGAAAAACGAACTTTACAACTTTGGCGGGAGGAGGGGGGATGAGGGCTGGGTGAGGGGGGTGGGAGATGGGAAGGGATGGGAAGGGGAAACAAAGGAGGAGGCAACAATGCTTGATAAGAAATGTACTCAAGCCAGGCGCTGGTGGCTCACGCCTGTAATCCTAGCTACTCAGGAGGCTGAGATCTGAGGATCGCGGTTCAAAGCCAGCCCAGGCAGGAGAAACCGTGAGACTCCTATCTCCAATAAACCACCAGAAAACCGGAAGTGGCGCTGTAGCTCAAGTGGTAGAGCGCTCACCTTGAGCTGAAGAGCTGAGGGACAGCGCCCAGGCCCAGAGTTCAAGCCCCACGACCCACAAAAAAAAAAAAAAAAAAAAAAAAGAAATGTACTCAATACCTTGCCCATGTAATTGTAACCCCCCTGTATGGTATTTTCACAATAAAAAAGAAAAAATAGAAATATTTTCTCAGTGCTTTGAATGAATGTCTTGATCTCACCCCACTTCCGGAGTGAAAAGCTCTGACTGAGCAGTAGACAAACCAGACAGTGGAAGTAGAAGTGGAAACAGGCTTGGAGGGGAGGGGGGAGGGCGGGACACCCAGGGGGAGACACCCTGGCTTGTGAATGACTTGGTCTTCAGGAGAACAGTTCTCATCAAGTGCTGACCTCAGAGTCGATCACTTTATAATCAGCGTATGTGCAGTCCTGAGGCATTTTCAGGTTCTCCTCTAGACTTTGCAATAGATGATTATATTGGGCTTCATGGTACAGGCTTTGATCCAGTTTTCTGGTCTTTTGCTGTTTTTTTCCTTCTCTTTACAAAAAGAAAATGATAAGAAATGGGTATTCAGTGACAACAGGTTTAATACCATAGGGAAAAGAACATACAAAAGAAACAAAAAAAATACGTAGTACATTAAAAACAGCAGCAACAAAGGAAAAAAACCTCTTGAGTCCGTATCTTGGGGTTCATTTCACTTAGCATCATCTTATATGGTCAAATGTACATAGCTTTTGACCGTCTCTGTTTCACCGTATTTGATTCTGGTGCCCTGCATCTTGTATATACATTTTTCTAATTTGGGGAGAGGAAGGGAAATAACAAAATGCTGAAATAAGGATACAGGATGACCCATTGTAACAATGAGATGTACAAGACACTATGTTGAAAATGAACTTTACAATTTGGGGGTGGGGTAGGGAGGAGTTGGGGAGGTGGGGAGGGATGGTAGGGGAAAAACAAAGGAGGAGGTAACAATGCTCAATAGGAAATATATTCATTACCTTACTCATGTAACTGTAACCCCTCTGTACAGTATCTTTACAATAAAAAATATTTTAAAAAAGAAATGGGTGTTCATACTTAGTCACTGCAAGAAGCAGGAGATAAGGTTCATAGTTGCAGCTCTTCCTGATGCACAAGGCCTAAGGCAGAGTCCCCAGTATTGGTGCTATAATTGCAGTGTTGGATAAGATGTTAAAACACCCTGCATCTTTATGGCTTGCATTGTTAGTGATTTAATCCTGCTTGAACTGTGGTTCTTAGAGCCCTGTGGAAAATGTGTCTAAGGAAAGCTGGTACCAGCTACCTTGCTTCCATCTGCATTTATCTCCTTGCATGCTACAAAGGGAACAGCAAAGCAAAGGTTGTCATGGCTCTGCATACTCCTCATCCATTACCTTCCGTCTGCATTCATCACCTCTCACGCTGCAAAGGGGACTGCAAAGCCAACAGTAAATGCAAGCAGAAGTCTGGACAGCCATCTAGAAGTTGAAATGTCTTAAACAGAGATGCCCTAAAATCGTGTTGCAATTTGAAAGGAACTATTGGTTCTTCACTGAGAAAAATGGTTCTAGAACAATATACTATGTATTTCTCGGTAATGTACTAAGCATTAGCGATATAGAAGAGAAAGTATATGGTTCATTCTTGTAAAAAAAAAAAAAAAGCTTAAATTTCAGGAAAAAGAAATATTCATTTACTGTCCTTTTTCTAAAATGTGTGGTATATAATTATTTTTCAGATGTTGGAATATTTGCTAATAGATATTAAGATGTCTTGGGGACCTAACCAAAATAGAAAAGCATAATTTGTTTCATTTTCATCCTAAATACAGAATGTAAAGGTATACAGGACTTTTAATTATTTTTGTTTAATGAGGTGGAATTTTCCACTTGTAGTACCACTTAGTCACTCAAAAGATCTAGATTATAGATAATTTTGGATTTTCAGATAAGGAATACCCACATAAACAAACAAGAACGGAATTACCTTATAATGATTGTTTCCCTAACCTGTGTGTCAGAGCACAAGACAAAGGGTTGATATATCTAAGTTGGGAGACCAGACAAGACAGAGAGAAGAGACAGCAAAACTCTCCAGTACATACTATGGGAGCAATCGTGACGGAGCCAGGATGGAACAGCAAGAGGTCAGTTCATAGGAGAGCAACCCAGAAGAGCAGAATCACAAATTCTGAGTGTCACTTGGGAAGTGTGGTAAGATGTGAGACTGAAAAGATGAAGACAAACACCACGACTTGTTGGCATACCACAAGTCAGAGTTACTGAGCAAGGAAGGAGGAGGAGTCTTGCTGAGGGAGTGATGTAATTGAAAGGACTGCAGGAACACTGATTGGCTAGATCAGAGACTGGTTAACCTTCAACACTCTGAACTGCAAAAATGAAGATTGCTGCGACTACATGGGGAAGATCTGTGGAATAGCTGAGCGGGGTGGCAGCTACTGATAGAGAGGGCCACAGAGAAGGAACAAACATGTGGGCTTTTGAGTGGACAGACTTAGACACTGGGTTAGACACAGAGAGCAAATACAGGAACCACACTACCAAAGAGTTTCTAAACACAAATCCAACCCCAAGCTCATTCTATGACTTACACTGTGATACTCTTTGTGGACCCAACAACAATGTGTCTATTCAATGCTTAAAGTCTTGTGAGGGCTGAGTGAGAGGGATTCACACACAGATCACCATTACAGTTATTCTGTAAGATGACTGTGTCAGTTGTTTAATCTACCTAAGGGTTGTGTATGTACCATTATCAATCTTAAATAAGACTGAGCAAACACCCAACAAATAGGTGATTATAGTCACTTGTCTGTATCCTATTTTCTCTCTCAAATTGGCAAATAGATCCGAGCACTGATCCATGTCTTATTATTTTATTAGATTTTTTTTGCACTGTGTTTTCCATGGGGACATGTGAAAGAAGTCAGCCCTTTGATGACATTTTGCTTAGCAACATACTTACACTATCTTTTGCTTCTCCATAGATTTTTTAAACTTTTGAAGTTTGCTAACCATGACATGGGCTTCTTTATCAGCTTTGGGGGATCGTTTTTCCTCCTGCTTTTTCTCCAGGGATTTGCCCACACTTTCAGCACACATTTCTACATTTTTCAAACTGAATCTGGAAATAAATAAAGTCAATATTTGTCATGAAGTTAATGTCATCGATGAAATTCAGTATTTCTACCTACTGCTCCTATTCTGACATATGCCTTCCTGTTGGCATTTTAAAGCCCATCCTTAGAAATTTCATTCTGAAGGGATCTCCATAGTCCTGATTACTGTAAAATGGTAAGTTTCCTTCATCCCAATCCTCTGTCCTAAGAACTCTGCATTAAGAACTACAGAGTTGGACAAGCGTGGCTCATACCTATAATCCTATCTATTCAGGAAGCTGAGATCTGAGGATTGCAGTTCAAAGCCAACCGAGACAGAAGTAACACCATTGATAGAAACAAAACTGGGATTCAAGTTTGGGTCCAGCCATGAAGTATATGCCCTTCGGCACACGAATACTAAATGAACATGGGGACCTATTTTTCTCAAATGCCAGGTTATATAAGCTGATGGGTACAATACTGTCTGCAAAGTACCACAGGAATCTCTGGAGCCCAGAAAAATCCTCAGACCTCCCAAGGATCTAGGGCAACTTAAGACTGTGTCAAGCTACATAGACCAAGGATTTTCAGAATTCATAGAGAAGAGCACCCAAGATTCAATATCATTTAACTCTCAAATAGAATCCATCTTTTATGCTTTTGTTGAGTACTTTCTTTTTGAGAGGTTTATTTATATAATGTGTAATATAAAAATAATATATTTAAAATATAGCATACATAATGTCATGTAAATGTACACATTTATCTTTAAGTAGTTAGGCAAAGGAGTTGCCATTCAACAAAGCAGTTTATGAATGCAATACATCTTGATCAGTGTCACCCCTTCCATCAAAATGTACATATTCATCAAAATGTATATATTTTAAACATAGTATTGTAGAGTCCAGCTATGCTACTCTGTCATAGTCTTGTTAAGGGTACTTGAAAAGCAGCAGGTACAAGATTACTCTGACATGTCCTTTTTCTTAAGAGTAGATCAATGCCCACATGATATCTTCTCTTATACGACAAGAGAATCGCTTTTTTAATCAAGGATAATAAGCTAAGACTGAGTGAAATCCATGTAAACTTTAATAAACTAACTCTTACCTTCCTAGTCAATTCTCTACCCAGTTAACTGACCTCACCAAGACCCTTTGCTGTTATATTAACAGCAAAGAGCTCTTTGTCCAATTCATAATTAAATGTTAACTTTTGTGTGTGTATGAGTGTATATATGTGTGTGTGTGCATGTGTGTGCTTGTGTGCCCACACTGGTACTATGGCTTTAACTCAGGGCTTTGTGTTTTCACTTGGCTTTTTCACTCAAAACTGGGGCTCTATCATTTAAGTCACACCTCCACTTTCAGCTTTTGCTGCTTAATTGGATATAAGAGTCTCAGAGACTTCTGTGTCCAGGCTTGTGTTGAGCCTCAATCCCCAAATCCCAGCCTCCTGAGTAGCTAGAATTACAAGCACAAGCCATCAGTGTATGGCTAAATTTTAACTGAACTCTGGGTCTTCATTTCCTATGAAGCTGCCTTTCTATATAGTTTATTTTATATTAACTTTTCTCCTCTTGTTCTTTCTTATGTCAACTTAATTCTCAGATCTAACCAAAAACTCCCCTGAAACAAAGGAAAAAAGTTACTTGTTTTCCACATGTATAGGTACATGAATAACCAATAGTTATTTGTGGATTTCTATTTTGTAGTTAAGCTTCCAGAAGTAGCCTGGATTCACAGAATGGTTTGTGTGTGTAATATCTGTAGCCATGCTGGAATGTGAAGTAGATGAGCTATACAAATTCTTCATGGGACAGAAATTTTCTTTGCCCCAATACCAGAAATAAAAGGAGCAATTGATTGAAAGCTCCATTTCCAAACATGAACTTACATTCATCTAGCATCCTTATTTTGACTATATACATCATTAGTGAAAAATCATTACTATCTATCTGTTTACATCTGGACACGCTTCACTAAACTTTACCACCTGAGCAAGATTCTGTGACTCTCTTCATATAAAGTATACTATGAAATTGTCTACAGTGAACCTATCACTATGTTTTCAATGTTGAACTTGGATATAGTGTGTCATTCAATAAATAAATTATACTCTGGTGTTATTTTATCAAGTTGAACCAACTGAATGGTGTTTTCAAATTTAAGCTACTTTGTACTGTAACATATAAAATTTAACAAGTTAGCAGAGCCCCTGGGTCATAGTTCATATCTCATAAACTAAAAATACTAAAACACCTTGGCAATAAATACTCTAGTATATTTAATTTAATAGTCTAGTATATAAATACTCTAGTATACAGGATAGTTTTATGTATAAACATTCACTCTGCAAAGAAACCAACTATGTACCGAAATAAGACTTAAAGCTAATAACTACAATAAAGACAAAATAAAGAATGTAATTCTGAAAACATTGTATCAGAATCAACTAGAAATGTTTATTTTCAAAAACTAAGAATACTCATTTAAATAACAGGTGAACATGAGAAATAGAAATAGATACTCAATTACAATAAAGTCTGTATAGCTTGCCCCATCTTAAAAGAATAAGTCTTATCAAGTGCTAGTAACTAACAACTATAATTCTACCTACTCAGGAGACAGAGATTGGAAGGGTCAAGGTCAGCAGAAACATAGTAATTCATGCCTGTCACCTTAGCTACACATTACGTTGATAGTCGAAGGACATCTATGCAGAAAAAGCCCTAGCAAAAATATTCTGGAGAGCCTATCTCAATAGAAAATGACATAGTGAGTCACATTCATCAGGCCAGCTACAGCAGGAAGTGTAAATAGGATCATATTCTAGGCCAGCCCCCACAAAATGTGAGACTCTATCTCAAAAGTAACCAGAGCATAAAGGTCTGGAGGTGTGGCTCAAATGATAAAGTGCCTGTCTAGCAATTACAAAGCCCAAAGTCAAACCCCAGTACCGCTAAAAAAGAAGAGGAATATAATGCACGTCACATTGCAATGTTAAAAATTAAGTTAAACAGCTTACATAAAAAAGATTGCAGGTAGCTGGTTCATTTCACTTAGCTTCTCCACAAGAAGTGGAAACTTTTCCAACAAATTTCCTGAGCGAAACTCTGAGTGAGGGTTAAGATGCTTCAGCACCTTTTTAGCCTGTAACAATGAATAAAATATTTTACATTGAGTTCTCCATAGCAAAGAAAGGAGGTACTGCTTCCAGATACAATACTTCCACAGTTATGTATTACATGCATCTGTGGATCTTTTAAAAATCATATTTTATACAACTAGAACATATTCTAGTTAATACACTTGATATATACACACTTACACATGCAAATGGAATATGTTTCTTTTAAGATCACTCAGAGCCATCAGAAAGAGATAAAGTGTTCAGTAATTGAGGATGTTTGATTCTACTATGGGTAGAAGGGAAAAAAGAACTAGTTTCTTTCTATGTCATTTCCAAATACATTTTAAAAGTTTCCAATAACCCTTTTTTAGGTAAGTTAAACCAAGTATCAGGGGCTCACACCTGTAATCTTAGCTATTCAGGAGGCTGAGATCTAGAGACTCAAGATTCAAAGACAGTTTTGGCAGAAAAGTCTGAAAAACTTTCCAAAACTAACTAATTCAGTTATGCTGAAGGCATGGCTCAAGTGATAAAATGTCAGCCCTCAGGGAACAAGCCAAGGAGTACAAGGACCTAAGGTAGTTTTCTACATGGGATGAGACCAAATAAAAGTGTAATTATACTCATCACTGAACCTGTTGAATTGGAACCCTGGACAACTACTTAAAAATAATAAACAAATATACACAAATAAGTAATAGAACTGAACAAAAGAAAAATAATAAAATATAATAGGTTAAAAAATATGACATGAGAAAAGTCCTATAGGTCATTCCTAAAAAAAAAAAAAATCAGCAATATCAATTCTTGACACTAATTACTATCAGTAGATGATATTCTAAGTTAGGTATCTGATCTGACTCGAACTTCTTTGTGGCAACAATAAAGTCCACACACCAGGAAATTCTCTAAGCAAACAGAATGTTAGAGGGGAGGCAACTAGTTGGGGAAAGAGTGGACCACGATGTCAAAGGTAAGTACAAAATGCTGCAAGGGCCAGAAAGCACATACCCACCACAACAGAACAAAGGAGAGGAAAACAAGGGAGAAGAGGGTGGAGACAACCCAAACTGGCTGCTCAAATTCAACCAATCCTAAGAGGTGCATATGTTAAAAATTACCTAATAGAAAATATTTAAATCTGGCCACATACAAGAGTATTATCGAACCCCCACTACTCAGCTAATGAGAAATCAGGGAGGCGCCTACACATTTAGGAGTATGAAATGCTTGCCGTAGTTCCTAGGGTGTCTCTAGCCAACAGAGAGCTTATCTTGGAGGACTTTCATTAAGTAGGAAAGCTTGCTTTCATCATATGTTTCTCATATGAAGCAAACCACAAATATAAAAAGTATCAACCTACAATAAATGTGTTTAATGTGATTCTCAGATGTTTTAAGACATAAATAATTCCTATAATTTGAAATAAAAAATGAAAGAAACTCCAAGACTAACATAGATCCAAGTCCCTTGACAGGTATTAATCAATCCAATCTCTCTGTGGCGAGGTAACAACTATGCCAATTGCCTAATGCCTGAACCCTCTGTGTGGGTTGCTAAACCAGCCAGTAGGAACCAGTAGCCCCTGGTCCATGTCAATGACCCATTTCCTTTCTCTCTTCTTATTTTATCTCAGGATTACTAAACTTCATGTTCAACTTAAAACTCTAAAATGAACACTAAGAAAATTGGAGGAAGCTGATATTAATGGGTACAACTCAAGATTATAGAGTGCTTTGTCAAAATCATATGTGAAAATTACCTGCTTTATATTGCCATCTTTAACCCAACTTGTTAATTCTGACTTTAAGCTCTCTTCATATTTTCTAGCGTCTGACTTTTTAATGACCACTTTATTCTTAAAGTGAATGAAGTTCTCTGGACACAGATTCTGGGAAAACAAATATCATAAAGTTATATGAAAGCATGCCAAAATCCAAAGATACTTAATTATACTTCTCATGCACATCATTACAAACTCTTCAGGTTAGATATGGTCAAACTCCATTTTATATTTCCAGTAGGCATACACTCTTGAAAAAAATGCAAAAAAGAATAGAGTGCCACCAAGTTAAAGAGAAAATAAACAGAAATTAGAACATAAAGAAAGCAAGAGACAACAGAGGACTATAGAGAGCATGTGAAGAGAAGACAAAAAATATTCTACCAGAAGACGAAAGAAGAAATATTTTCTAAAATTTAAATAAAATGCCATTTACATAAAATACCCATTTAAAAAAAGAATATATGGGAAGAGATCATAAAGTGATAACTTTAAAGATCAGATGCAAGTGATAAGAAAAGGTGAGCATTTCTTTCATTTTTAAAAATACATTATTGTAAAGGTGATATATAGAGTTGCATAAATCAGATAATGAGTACATTTCTCTTCCAGTTTTTCCTCTCCTAACCCTCCTCACTCCCAAGTTTATTTTTTTCAGATCATTTTTAATTAAGTTTTTTGTTGTGAAAATACTGTACAAAGGGGTTACAGTTTCATGAACAAGGTAATGAGTACATTTCTTACCCAGCATTGTTGCCTCCTCCCTTGTTTTTCCCCTACCATCCCTTCCCTCCCACCTCCTCAGCAATATCCTCCACGCTCCCCCACCCCAATGTCTAAATTGTAAAGTTGGTTTTTTGACATAGAGTCCTGTACATCTCGTTGTTGCAATGGGTCAACCTGTATCCCTATTTAAACAATTTGATTTTTCCCTTCCCCGCCACAAATTATACCAACATCAAATGCAGTGAAAACAAGGGTTATACCGTGGGGGAGGGACATACAAAGCAACAGAGAAATCATTTTATAAATATGTTAGAAACAATAGCAAGAAAGAAAAAAAATTTGAATCCTTATCTTGGGGTTCACTTCACTTAACATCAACTTATCTGACCGTTTCTGCTTGTCTCAGACATATACTAGTTATTGCAAATAAGGGAAAACATGGAACCTATGTTTCTTTGGGCCTGCCTTCCTTCACTTAATGTAATTTTTTCCAAGTCTTTCCATTTCCTAACAAATGGGGCAATGTCATTCTTTCTGATGGAGGCATAGAATTGCATTGTGTATATATACCACATTTTCTTGATCCATTCATCTACTGAGGGGCATCTGGGTTGGTTCCATATCTTAGCTATGGTAAATAATGCTGCAATAAACATTGTGCTGGTAGCTTTAGTATGGTCTTGTTTGTGATCATTTGGGTAAATGCCCAAAAGTGGGATTGCTGTATGTAGAGTCTTTTGAGGAACCTCCATACTGCTTTCCAAAGGGTTGAACAAGTTTACACTCCCACCGACAATGCAGTAGGGTTCCCTTCTGTCCACATCCCCTCCAGCACCTGTTGTCCACATTTCTTCTTCTATACAATATTATTGTGATCCCTAACTGCTAATTCCATGAATATTGTTTACCTGGGCCTGAGGCCATTCCTTCCAGATTAGAGACATAGTATCATAAAGCTGAAGGCTTTCTCGAGGAGAAAGGGCAAGATCAGAAGGGAATCCATATCTTTCAATCTGCATTTAAAACAAAATCAAAATTGTTAGCACTCTATTTTTTTAATCTTATCTTTTAATGTTGTCCCTCACAATCACCATCAGGAACCCAAAGACACTTCAAGGTGACAAGGCAAAGTGTTTAAATGATGTTAGGTGCTAAATGCTCACAAAATACTTGAATCACTGGAGAAGGGGCCAAAAGTTCACCTACCAAAAAAACTTTCATTTGTTTACTAAGACATTTCATTAGTGTCATTTTCCATCGACTGTCTTCACCATTCAAATCAGAGGCCTGGGAAGCCAAAAGGTTAGTGGACTCTTTAAACTACAAGTTACAACCTCTATTCTTCCACTGAAACTGAAATCAGTTTAATTATGAATGTGACTATTTTTATATGTATCAAACCGGGTTAAAAAAATAGCAAATATTTGTTTAAATTCCAAAATAGGAAATGGATGAATTTCAAGACAAAGATTCTTGGCCCACCTTCAGGTCGGACCCCAAGGAACTTCTTCCATTGGCACAGGTTACCAGCTTCACAGCCAGAGTCTTCTAAATGTATCTGCCATACCTTTAAGAGGACACCTCCCCCCAAAAAAATCCTTTTCTCAAAAGTTTTATTGTAAGATCTTCTACTAGTGTCTATCACTACTACTGCAAATGAATCCCATGTGAAACCCTAATTATGAGACACTGTGTTTCAAGGTCTTCTGCTTATGCATGCTATTCTTTGAGCCCTTTGTGCTTTAGGTTAATTTTCAGATAGAGTCTCCTGTTTTGTTTAATTTGATTTGTTTTTCCAAACCAGCAGCCTCAGACCACAATTCTGTTAGTCACTTCTTCCTTGTAACTGGGATTACGAATAGGTACCACCAAGCCCAGTGATTCTGAGATGTTAACAGTATTGCCTATCGATTGAATGTTTAATTTTTTTTACCTCCACATTCTTTGGTGAAAGGTAATCGCTAATATTTATATATAAACACAACCCGCATACACAGCTGTCAACCCAGATTTCAGAATAGCCATGCCTTTGCATTTGTTCTTCCTTGCATCCCTGACAGTAGGATCTAGATGATCTGAAGGCTCACAGCAACATACTCTCTGCCAAAGTCATCTGGGGTCAGAGTGTACTGTGGTACTTCCATTGCTTTCCAGTTATTCCATTAATAGCTACTGAGAAGAGAGGGAAAGCACTCTGACCAAAATGATCATTTTAGCAAGTACTCTGAACTACAACACTCCCTGCTTCTTAAAGATAGCTTGCCCTGGAAAGTAGATGGAACTGCCAAACAACATGCAAAGTGAGAAGAAAAAAAAAACAGACTTAGAAAGACAACAACAGATTTTCTCTCATACATGGTACTGAAATTTTATAAAAGTAAAGGAAACATAGAAGGGAGATGAGTAAGGGTGATAAAGGGAGAAGATTGTATACACATATGACAAGCTCACAATAAAAAAAGACGGGCACTAGCCCGGAGCCAGTGGCTCATGCCTGTACTCCTAACTACTAAGGACACTGAGATCTGAGTATCACAGTTTGAAGCCAACCCAGGCAGGAAAGTCCCTCTTATCTCGAATAAACTACTCAAATACACACACACACAGACACACAGACACACACACACACACACACACACACACACACACACACACACACACAAATGGCACTGTGGCTCAAATGGTAGAGCACTAGCTTCTAGCACAAAATGGCTCAGGGACAGCACCCAGGCCCTCAGTTCAAGCCCCAGGACAGGGAGAGAGGAGGGTTGGGGGAGAGAGGGAGGGAGAAAGAGAGAGGCACAAGTGGTTCACATGTATAATATTAGCTACTCAAGAGGCTAAGAGGATTGCAATTCAAAGCTGGCCCAAGCAAAGTATGTTCCCTAGACTCCATCTCCATAATCACTAGCAAAAAAGTGGGCTGTGGATATGGTTCAAGTGTCAGAGCACCAACCTAGCAAGCAAAATGTCCTGAATTCAGATCTCAGTACCACCAAAAATGAAAAATTAAAACTTTTAAGTAAAACTATAAATAAGTCATTAGGAGAGGAGGCAATAGAAAGAGGACTTGAGTAGGTGAATATGACGAAAAGATATTATGTTCATGTCTGGACATGTCATGTCAGTGCATGGCTGGAAAGACACTGAAGGGAAGAGTTTGGGTGTCATGCTACAGAGCCTTGCTCTAATCACTATCTGAAGAAAGCCATTAAACACTTAGAAAGATCAGAACTGTGTTTGGTAGACTAGCAAAATGTACAGTCTATTTAATTTTTCAGGTTTTAGAAGAAACACAAACTACTATGTAATTATTACTTCAATAGGAAACAGAAGTATAAATGAACCATGGAAATCTGATGAGAGATGGCAAGAAAATCACCATGAAAATTGATGAAATCCTTCTGCTCTCATACCTCAATGGCCAGTTGAAATCTTTTCATTGTGACAAATACCTTGTTCTTGCTTAACCTAATTCATAGTTGTCTTTCCCATAGTTGGCATGAAAGAAGGTAAACAGACAGATGGAAGCTGGAAAAAGGAAGTGGGTAGAATAAAAAAATTAATAAATATAGTTCATAGAAGATTTGAGTTAAGAGGTTGGAAGTTTTGTGGATCCAGATGCCATTGAAAAACCAATGAAACTGTAAGTTTCTTGTCCATTTAAGTTTCTTGTCCATTTTAAAATGAAGCTTGATCTATCTGTTATAGTGACTACCCAATAATTCTAATAAATATCAATATGGCAGCTTCTCAACAACAATATAGACAAATAACAGTCATTCCAACAATGTGGTCACAGTTATTGCTTACATGATCTGTGGTTAGTGCAGCACATGGATGATAATGATCAAAACAAATGTCATCATTTTTTACTGAGCAGATATACTTCTCTAAATCATTATATCTCTCTCCATACAGCACTGAAAAAGGAATAGCAGGATTTTTCTAATTAATTAAAAGGTAAGGACTGACTGGAAAAATTTAACAGTAGAAAATTAAAAAAATAATGTAGATAAATATTTAAAACATACCAAGTCTAACTTTATGTGATTGTTGTACTTGAAAGTTGTTTTGGGCGTGGTAGCCAGCCTTCGTTTCAGAAGCAATATTTGGTTTCATCACACTATCTACTTTTTTCCAGTAATGTCTGGTTGATTGTAGCCACCTTAAAAAATAAATGTATAGATTATTGAGCCAGAAAATGGAAAAAAATTCATGAAAATCAAATCGGTTGATAGAAAATGTCATGTAACTTTCAAAATCATACATAAGGGTGTCAACTCTCAGGTCAAACTATCTGAGATTTAAGTCCAGTTTCCTATTAGGTGTGGCTCACGGTTGAGTCACTTAATCTTTCTCTGTTTTGTTCCCCCATTTTTAATATAACTACTTGTAAGAATACAAATAATAGAAGTAAAAGCACTGTTAGGTCATACTAATTATGGCCATTGTAGCAAATCATAAAGCTTGCATGAATTTAAAGAAATTAATATATGCAAAGTACTTAGAATAATATATGGCACATAGGGGAAACAATAAGATCAGTTGCAATATAGATGCTGATCGGAGGCAAAAGTCAAGTTTAATGACAAGAAAGGAAGGAAGGGAGGGAAAAAAAGAAAGAAGATAAATGTCTAAACCTCTCTAAAAAGTGAGATAACTACTTAAAATCCATTCTATCACTTTATTTTTTGGTCTCTTAGTAAAGCACTCACACACACACCAAATGTGATCTATGATCTATGTGATCAAATCTGAGGTGAAATTTCTTACTTCACTGCAGATATGGCTTGGGGAGATCTCGGGGAGCTTTCTTTATAGAGGTGACCAGCACCTACTAGAAAGTGCTAGCAAGACAGTGCCTTGAAGTTACAGAGATGAGTTATTAGTTAACCAGAAAGCTATGAAACTTTCCAACATTTGAGACAGGCAAGTATTCTATCCAAAGTAGAACTCAATTCCTACTCGACAAGACGTTCCGGGTTACTTATCGTAGCCGAAAGAGCCAAAAAGGGACATCGGATCATGACAAGGAGATGCTCCCAGATTTCGGCTCCAATTTCCCCACCAAGACAATGAACCTAGTACAGAAAGAAAAGAAAATCACTCAATTGAAAGCTAGATTTTAAAATAGCAAGTGAAAATAACACTTGAAACCATCATAGAACATCATAGCATGCATAAGGCGTTATGCATAGACACAAACAGACTGACTAAAGGAGGATATACTTAAGGGAGGAGTCCAACGGTGGAGCAAGACTGAACAGCTAATTAACTGTTTATCAAAACAAATATCAGAAATCTGAAACAGGCATGGAGCTAAGAAAGAGCAAGCAGATGCAATTTTTTTTCACTTTCTTTTTTTGTTTTTAATTGTGAAAATACCGTACAGAGGGGTTACAATTACATGGGCAAGATAATGAGTACATTTCTTATCAAGCATTGTTGCCTCTTCCTTTGTTTCCCCTTCCCATCCCTTCCCATCTCCCTCCCCCTACCCCCTACGCCCCCACCCCCACCAAAGTTGTAAAGTTCATTTTTTGACATAATGACTTATACATCTCATTGTTGCAATGGGCCCACCTGTATCCCTATTTAAACAATTTGATTTTTCCCTTCCCCTTCACAAATTATACCAACATCAAATACAGTGAAAGCAGGGCTTATACAGTGGGGGAGGGACATACAAAGCAACAAAACAATCATCTTATAAATATGTTAGAGACAATCGCATGAAAGAAAAAATATTTGAATACTTATCTTGGGGTTCATTTCCCTAACATTAACTTCTCTGACCTTTTCTGCTTGTCTCAGACATATACTAGTTATTGCAAATAAGGGAAAACATGGAACCTATGTTTCTTTGGGCCTGCCTTACTTCACTTAATATAATTTTTCCAAGTCTTTCCATTTCCTAACAAATGGGGCAATGTCATTCTTTCTGATAGAGGCATAGAATTCCATTGTGTATATATACCACATTTTCTTGATCCATTCATCTACTGAGGGGCATCTGGGCTGGTTCCATGTCTTAGCTATGGTAAATAATTCTGCAATAAACATAGTTGTGCTGGTAGCTTTAGTATGGTCTTGTTTGTGACCATTTGGGTTTGTGACCAGTGGGATTGCTGGGTCATAGGGGAGCTCTATGTGGAGTCTTTTGAGGAACCTCCATACTGCTTTCCAAAGTGGTTGAACAAGTTTACACTCCCAGCAACAATGCAATAAGGTTCCCTTCTGTCCACATCCCCTCCAGCATCTGTTCTGTTTTTACATGATAGACACTGAATATAATAATTGCATCTGTTGCTATAATCAAGAACTCTAATAACAATAGATGCAATTATTATATTTGATGTCTATCATGTAAAAACAGAAGTCTATAACTTGAGGGTAGGGAGGGAAGGGAGACTAATAAGGGAAATGGTGGAAGGGGAGATGTTGATCCAAGAAGCATTGCACTCACAACATCACTTACAGACTTGTAACTTCTTTGTACAATTTCTTACCAATAATTTTTTTCCAGTCCTAGGCCTTGAACTCTGGGCCTGAGTGCTGTCCCTAAGCATCTTTTGCTCAAGGATAGCACTCTACCCCTTGAAACACATACCACTTCTGGCTTTTTCTGTGGTTAGTTGGAGATAAGCATCTCACAGACTTTCTTGCCTGGGCTGGCATTAAACCATGATCCTCAGATCTCAGCCTCTTGAGTAGCTAGGATTACAAGTGTGAGCCACCGGCGCCCAACCCAATAAAATTTTTAAAACTGAATCATCCTATTAACTTTCACTGGCCATGCCTATATTTAAACAGGCATTGAGAAAATCCAGTCAATAGAAAACCTTGACTTCTGAATTTTCCTCAATTCTTCCACCAATTAGCCAATAAGTCCTCTTTGTTTTACTTTCAAAACTTGTGTCAACTCTGTGTGTTTCTTTCCATGTGTACCGAGTCACGTATCACATCTCCAGGATGTTGCAACTGTTCACTGTCCAGCTCTTCTTACCCCTACATCCTCCACATCACAGTTAAAATGATCTTCCAAAGATAAACTTGAGCCACCAGTGGCTCACAGCTATAATCCTTGCTACTCGGGAGACTAAGATCTGAGGATTGGTTCAAAGCTGGCTCAGGCAGGAAAGATCAGGAGACTGTTATCGCTAATAAACTACTCAGAAAAAAAGCCATACGTGGCACTGTGGCTCAAGGGGTAGAGCACTCAAGAAGCTCAGGTACAGTGCCCAAGCCCAGAGTTCAAGTCCCAGGACTGACTAAAAAAAAGATACGTTTGATCTGCTTATGTCCCTAGTTAAATTTCCTCCCCTTGTCAGATTACAAATACAAACTTTTTAATTATATGTATAATGCCAGGGATCATTTGTGCTCTCCCCCGTCTTTCTTTCCTGATGGAAATACAAATGAGCCTTTTGTGTCCTACTTGAGCATAGTCTTCCCGGGACAGAGCGTTCATAATAATTATTCCTTTTGCTTAAAGTAATCTTTACCAATAAAGGAAGCACTACAATAACTACTTTACCCTTACCTCAGTCTGTAGGGTGCATTTTAAAATTATTCCTTCAAGAAGACTTGTCTGGTCCTCATTCCGGAACTGTCATCCTGAGCCACTCAGCCCTTACTGTAGCCATGACTATACGCTCTTTCTCTCCACAGTGTGTACTACTACAGGCTTATGGTCACATGTGTGCTTACTTGTTTGAATTGTCTTTCTCAAGTAAACAGTAACTTCATGCCTGGATATTCCTAACACTGATACAATGCTTGACACTGAAGGGCATTCGTCAAATATTTGCTGAATAGAGGAGTGCTGTCTTCAGACCACAGAAATACACTGGATTCAGGCGAGATTCTCAAATGCAAACCAGTCTTTTGTCTTCCTTTCCTTTCCTGCTGTTTCCATAGGATATATAGATGTACTCTGTAGGATATGTAGGTGTACTCTGTAGGATGGATACATAGGTATACTCTATAGGAGTCCATTTAAGAGCATCTTTCATTGAGACCACTATATGGAGGAAGTGTCTCTGAACTTCAGTCAAGTGAAGCACCAAAGACATAAGGGAATCAGCTCTCAAGCCAAACTACCTGAGATTAAATCCCAGCCCCCTAACTGTTAGCTGTTCAAGAGATTTCCAGAAACTTCACTTGAAACTTACCTCATCAAATATAACATATCTGATCCTCTTCACCCACTGTTGGCGGTGAGGAGCTAGCAGCAGAATTTCAAAGCAGGCAGGCACTGTAACAAGTACCTAAAAATAAGAACATGATATGAGCTAACCATTTTGAGCACTTATCATGTAAGGAAGTCACAAAACTATATACTAGACATATGAGTCCTGAATGTATCTGTGTTGAAAATAAGAGAGAATGTTGCTTCGAAGAACTGGTTTCGTCAGAACTGTGATGAAAGATTCATGTGAGGCACACAGTACTTCAGTGTCACAAGTAGCATATGGTAAAATATCAAATTTAATGTTTAGATTCTCATTTGGAGGGGTGGTTGAAGGGATAAAGCCCCTGTCTGGCAAGCATGAGGTCCTCAACTCAGTATTGGGAAGGAAGGAAGGAAGGAAGGAAGGAAGGAAGGAAGGAAGGAAGGAAGGAAGGAAGGAAGGAAGGAATCCTTTTAAGTAGAAAAGACTTCTTTTAAATGTCATAAAATTATACTTTCTTTAAAGCCGTCTGATTTTTCAAAAATACAAGGAATTAGGTTCACAAGGCTTTATAAAGATGTTGGATTCCGGTAAAACAGATAAGTAAGTTTTGTTAGGTAATTTTATATGAAGCTTATTAATCCTCATACCTTACCTGACAGTTTAGGGCATCATGGCGATATTCTCTTGTAAAAACACCACAGAGTGCTTCACCACTTGGCAGATTTTTGGTATAACGGTGCTGAACAGTGGCTGCCACTTGATTAACAAGAGCCTAATTGAGGAAATAGATCCATTAGTCCTATCATGAAGACAACAGGAACTGAGTGAAAGGATGTCCAGCTTTGAGTGCAGAAAGCTTTCTTGCCCCTTTTCTCAACTTGTCTTTCTAAATACTGAATGCTGAAGTGTTCTCTTTGAGGCATTGGACAAAGTATCTGAAACTCACTGATAAATTCAATTCCAACCTAAAGTATAAAACAGAAAATAAAAGTATCTGCAAAAAAAAAAAAAAAAAGAGGTATTGAAAACAACAACTATGCATTGCATAATACTTCAGTAACCAAGACTGGCGCTGAGAGAGGAACTGAGCCTACTCTAGCAGGAAAGGCAGCCAAAGTACACTGGGGTCTCTTCCCAGTGTATATTTGGGTTCTTTCACCAGGTTTCTGGTTGCATGCACAGGTGAACAGAAACCTGCTCTGCATCCAGGGTCACCTTGCCAGTCAAGTCTACAACTAGTAAACATCCATCAACACTTTATACTCCCAAACATAAAAATCTGTAGAGATGAAAATGCATTATGATCTGACTATAAACATACTAAAATGGGACTTTTCCATATATTTTCATGTAGTGAAGCACATGCACGGAAACTCAAAATGATATGAAGTGGTGTTTTATTCTGATTTATAACAGAAAAAAAGGGAGGCTGTATAACTTGTTCAAATTTTTAGTAGTTAAAAACAAACACAACCTCTTTCCAAAAGAAAAAAAAAAGCAAATGGAGCCTCAAGTACTTCATGAATATAGAAAGGCCTATGCCCCAAAGTTCATACATAGAATTGACCTAATAACTCATCAATTTAGTGGCTGGATACCAGAAGGAGTAGGGATGCAAATGAATATGTTCAAAAAAGGTTTATGCATATGCATGTAAATAGAGCAATGAAACGTGATAGAGGGGTGAGGTAGATCTGGATACATTATTTACATATGTGGAAATGTCCTCATGACATAAAAGAAAACAAGTCATAATAAAGAAAAGAAATTGAATTAGATCTCCCCCTCTGAGCATGCGCAACCATTCTACAGCGGAGGTTCCCGAGTGACAGAGAACAGGGCTTGCGTCTGAGCACTACCTTTGTGGGTGCGACGTACACAACCACGCCTTCGTCGCTCTCCTTCAGCACGCGCTCCATGCAGTAGTAGGAAGCATAGGTTTTGCCTGAGGATGTTGGGGCGACGATTACTGCAGACTCGTAATTATCCACGACATCGAGAAGCTCCCGCTGCAGGGTTTAGAGCATCATTAGTGTCAATAGTACAAGCAACATGCTACCCAACAAATACAGTAATGCATTTCCAATAGGATTTTCTGAATCTCAAATGGAATGATTAAGAGCTGCAAACACAAAAATACTAAAAGAGAACATGAAGTATTCCTGTTATTATCTCAAAGAAGACATACAGATATCAAGATAGAGACAGACAGACAGACACATAGACAGACAGACAGACACATAGACAGACAGACAGACACATAGACAGACAGATACATTTCTTTTTGGGGGGGGGAGTCTGGTCATGGGGCCTGAACTCTGGGCCTGGGCGCTGTCCCTCAGCTCTTCAGCTCAAGGCTAGTGGTCTACCACTTGAGCCACAGCACCACTTCTGGCTTTTTTCTTTTTGCTTATGTGATGCTGAGGAATTGAACCTAGGGCCTCATACATGCAAGACAAGCGCTCTACCACTGAGCCACCTTCCCAGCCCTAAATAGATACATTTCTAAGGTATAGCCAGCGTGTATTTTTGTGACAAGGAACAAATGGCTTCAAGGAAGAAATCGCAAAGACATTCATTTTATTTTGCTAAAAAATCAAAATCAAAAATCAAAATACTAAACCTAAGAAAATACTTTGCTCTGTCTAATTGTACAGTCAGTACAGGCAACCATCCACAGATATTTATTTTACAGATTTTTATTAAAAAAGTATCTACAAAGGTGACAGGTACAGAGTATGAATATCTGAACAACTGTCTGTAACATTCAACTCCACAGATTTCTCTGGGCACATTTCTATGTTTACACATAGGAAATCCCATGACACAGGTAATCTCAGCTCTGTAGCAATATAGCTGTATGGCAGACATCCTTAAATCATATAATCTGCATATGCAAATTTATCAGATCCCTCCAAAGAAATTATCCACATACTAAACGTAAATTTTGCTTTCTTTTATGGGAGAAAAAAAATAGCCTCCATTTGGTCTTTTGAATATAAATATTTTAAATGACATAATGCAATAGCAAGAGCTCCAGGCCAATCAGAATAACTAGAACCACAATTAGAAGAAATCCAAGAATTAACAGGCAATAAGAAAACACAAGATTTGTTTGCATTTGCAAGCGTTACCTGCCATGTGTCTGGAATGAAGTCTTGGACCCGAGGATCGGGATCTTTCCTTTCTTCTCTAACTAAATAATGGCCCATATATTGTAGTTGAAAGCGAGCTGGCCCAATACCCACTGAATATTTACTTTTTTTCTTCTTATTTATGTCATCTGTATCCTATATGTGTGAAAAGACCATTTTGAAAGTGATTTTCAACTATAACATCATTTAATTAAAATACTGATTATGAAGTTCCTCCAATGTGAAAACATTTGACTACATTTAAACTCCACAAAGGCATTACCATTTAAATCATGCCTGTAACTGTGAATAAACTAAAAGACATCATGATTTTCAAATACTCACTGTGGTATTTGTGTCTACCACCTGATAAATTTTTAAATAAGTGAATTATCATACTATAGTTTAGAGCTATTTTATAGAATTAATTAGAGCATCTGTATTAAAAGCCTGCAGAAATTATGTGGCATTTAATCCATTTGGACAAACAACTACTTTACAAGATTTCTAATTGTAAATTAATCCAAAATGGAGAAGCTGGAGTAATGAAATGATATAATTTTCAAAAAATTCTAGAAGAGATGACTGTCTTTGTAAAACAACTTTAGTGCACTTAATATGAAAATAGAGCTATTTAAACATTATTACTTGGGTTGGGTATAAAGAACTTGCCAACTCATCAAATCTCAAATACTTGAGGCATTTAGCTATAAACTTCCAATCTGCTTCTTGCAGCAGTTCTGAATATTTATCCACTAAGGACTGAATCCTTTTCATCATTTGAACAACTATACTTAAATCTTTTCTGATTTTTCCTTGGTAAAGAAAGAACGGTAAGGTCCTTATAAAGCCATCAAAGTCATAAACTTTATTAATTACCCAGCCAACCATTTTAACTAAACTCACTACCTTATTTGGCATTACTGGAAGTTTTGGGAATAGAGAGGACTAAATAAAATTACAACTGTAATTATCCATACTTATCCATACATCTACGTGAATTACTGACAAGTACAGATCTAACGGATGGGGAAACAAAAAAATTATCATAGAAATAAGATCATGAAAGCTGAAGTTTGTAGACATTTATGGAGAGTAATATATCTTTTCCCATTACTTTCATTTCTTTCCTACTATGTTAAAAAATTTTATAATTTTTCAATATGTGATTTAAAAATTTGCAATCAATTGTTGAGCCCTACTCTTCATCACAGATAAGAATTTGGTATAATTGCTAGAGCCCTTCAATTCAGTACATCTATTCCAACCACCAGACCCAGAATTTAGTAATTCTGTATGCTCTTCCCTTCTGTTGATCTTTTCTTATTTACCACATCAGTACTGTCAGCAAATATTACCAAATATTACATTTGTCTTAATGCTCCAGTTTACCAAAATAAGCCAACAGAAACATACCTTCAGCTTTGCAGTGTTCTTTCCATGTTTTCAAACAAGCCATTAATCCTACCATTTCACCTTGAACTTTGACTGAATTACTCTTACATGATTTCAAAAAGTCTTCTAGTTTCTTTATTCCTGAGTTTAAATTCTTTTTCATTTCTTCTTCAATAGAAAGTGATAAAGCATTCCACTTTTGCTCTTCTTTTTGTTCTTCTTTAGCAAGTAACCTCTTCTTGTTCTCTTTAGCAATTAATTCAGCCTTGGTCTCCTGCCCAAAAGGAAAGAAACAATCCTTGCAGCAAGTGGAAAATATTACAAGATAGCATCACTTGAATACAGTGATATTTTTCAGTGTGTATGATGATTTTGACCATCGTCTCATTCTTGAATAGACACACAACATCTGTTTCTTGAAATTAAGCTTCCTAAGATTAATTTTAATTAAAATTCAAAACTTAAATTTAAAAAGTTAATTCAAGTTAGGATATACAGGCTCTCTGTGGATAATTTTCTAAGTTTCTGATTGGTATAGATTATAAATGAAAGAATAATTATTATAGAATAAAAGAGATACCAGATTACTCTTCTTTCTTTCCTCCATGGACCCACTTACCCTCTCTCTCTCCCTAGAATCACCCTTCCCTTCCCATTCATTACTTGATAAAGATATCTCCACCATGAAATCCTGCCTCTCAGATGCCCTTGCATCTGTCAAAGCATTCATCAGAATGTATTATAGTTACAATTTTACTTATTATTCTTCCTCTCTAAATTGAGATCATTGAGAGAAGGCTTTGCCAAGAGCCAAGCACTTAGTCCATAATATCTGAGGAATAAATGACAGGGGGAAGAATTGAAAGAAAGAAGGAGATGGAAAGAGAAACATAAATCAATAATATTTGAGTTTTCGCAATCATTAATCTTACAAGTGGTTTCTCACATTGAGTCCACAAGACGAGACAGAGCCCTAGGCCTTTGTCCTGTGCAATGCTCACGTTGAAAATGTAGATTCATGAAGCCATTGGTATGAAAATAGTGCTAAAGGTGTTTAATTCCTTTGAAATAATTTGCTTAATTTCTAATAATGAAAAGGAGGAAAATGTGAGAATTCTTCACACATCATATTTTGTTCCATAAGAATTTGTGCGGGGCTGGGAAGGTGGCTCAGTGGTAGAGCGCTTGCCTTGCATACATTAGGCCCTGGGTTTGATTCCCCAGCACCACATAAGCAAAAAGAAAAAAAGCCGGAAGTGGTGCTGTGGCTCAAGTGGTAGAATGCTAGCCTTGAACTGAAGAGCTGAGGGACAGCGCCCAGGCCCAGAGTTCAGGCCCCATGACCGGACCCAAAAAAAAAAAAAAGAATTTGTGCCATTTTTCTATTTTATAACATCTCTCAGAAAAGGGGGAGAGGGAGGAGGACAAAGAGACTTTTGGTACTCTGAAATGAAAAAATGAAAGTTGTATTGAGTGGTCTCCTGGATGATAAAGTTGACAATAAAAAGGAAATGAAGATCATGGACATGATCAAGAAATAATGATCACATAGAAGAGCTAGCTGGGCTTCTTTGTGCTGATTAAAGCAAAAGTCAAAATGACCTCCAATTCTAGTTGGATTTTTGGAGCAGTTCAAGGAGAGATGCTTCACAAAAGCACCAAGACATTTGTAATTATTTTTTTATGTTACCTTGATTGGAATGTAAGAATTGTTTTTATAAATCTGCAAACTAACGAACCACCTCCTGTCCCTCAAACGTGTACTGTCTTTACTTGTTAATTAGTCCAAGGTCTGGCAAGGAAATGACACACTTATCTGATCTTGCCAAAAAAAATCCTAAAATAAAAATATTCAGAAGCCCAAAAAAATGTTTTTGCTTCCATTTAGAGGTTTCAGTTCTCATAACTTCGCCTGACTGATCTTACTATTTGATAAGGTAGACTGGAATCAGCTGCATTTGTTAGTGATTTGTTGTGCTAAACTGTTATTCTCTTTAATAGAGTTAAACATTAAATCTGACTTTTAGTGATAATAACTGCATTTCCCTAATCTCCAGCATTGAGGTTCACAGGAATAGACTAAATCCTAATGATTTGCCCATTTTATGAAAATGATATATCACCTTTCTCTAAAGTCACAAAAGCAGCAGTTCTACTTGTAGGATTTTTTATAGTTAGACATTATTATTCTCAGAAATATTAGCCATTAGTTTTCACAGCATGAAGTGCTTAGTATTTATACCAAAAATATTTTTAAATTCTCATAACTTGTTACTTGTACTTCATTCTCAATTTTAGATCTTTATATAAGCTTAGAAAGAGACATCCTAAGGAACAAAAAAGGAAAGTTGCAAGCATTTACCCTCTACCAAAAAAGAAGTGATTGATTCATTATTTAAATGCTTTGGAAAAATATAAACAATCTGTTAAAAGCAAGCAAAAAAATTATATTTATTTTTGTGTCAACAACATGAAAAGGTTTTCACTCTCATTAATAAATGACTATACTTTCAATGTTACTGAAACATTTTTAAATCTAAGCCTTTAGTCAATGCCTTATAGTCTTCTCTGAGTAAATGTACATGTTTTTATGTGGAGAAAACTAGAAATCACACTTTATATTCAAGCTAGACTTCCTTAATAAGTAGAATGATATATATATATACATATATATATATATGATTACTTATATAAAAGGAAACATGCTCTCACAGAAAGAATCAGCAAGAGAATGAACAAATTCCAACTTCAAAAATATTTTCAATTTAAAATAATAGACTTTGTAACACCTTACATGTTTCTTTTTGCTCTTAGCCTCATGACAATCCTTCTTTGCTTTAACACCTTGAGTTACAATGAGTTTGGAAGAGACTGATTCTAAGGAATTGCCATACAATCTTTGAAAAATATGATACTTTTGCAAGGATTTAAGGATGTGAGGATCTCTGGAATTTGCTGGGAAAAAAAAAAACAGAATTAAAATCAGCAGCATTCTTACTAATTCTTCACAACATACCACATACACATGCACTTCTTTTTCTACTATAGAATAATAATTTAATCTAATTAATTTGCTAAATGGAGATTCTTAAATCAGGCTATGTCTTGTCTGTAAAATAATTCCTTAAACTAAAATATCTTATCGTGGCCTACTTCCCAAAAGAAAATGTATGGTGGTGCCAAGAAAAAGAAAAAAGAACGAAAGAAAGGATCTTGTCACTTCATCTGTCCTGTAAATCAGGCTAAGAAGGAAGTGGAGGTAGAAATAAGAAGAAAACCATTTAAGACATCATGTTCTTTGCATCACTGGACCTTGTCCTGGACCAAAGCCATGGAGTTAGGAGCTCCATCTCTCTCTCTCTCTCTCCCTCTCTCTCTCTCTCTCTCTCTCTCTCTCCCTCCTGCTCTCTCTCTCTATGTGTGTGTGTGTGTGTGTGTGTGTGTGTGTGTGTGTGTATATATATATATATATATATATATATATGACTGTAAGAAATGCAGAGATTTCTTAAAGTTCAAACCAACTTTCCTTAAAACAGCATCTAGCTATTGTGACAAATGCGTATTTTGGATTTCTTAAAACACCTACACCTGGATGACAGTAAACCAAGTGGGAGTTTTCACTAATATCCTTCCTTACGTGCATTTCAATATTTATTCAAAAGTTTAATTTGTGGCTCAGAGAGTGATCACCTTCCACTATATAATAAAGACCAGAGCACGGAATAGATTTAAATGTGTATCAGCCCAATCGCCCAGCTCACCATTAAAGTTGGCCTTTGTCCTGTCATAATCATCACTGAGGGGTCTGTGAGAATGCCAATGGACAAGTTCATCAAATTCCTTTTGCTTAACCAGTGACATAACAATAGGGTCATCACTGCGAGATAAAAAGAAACGGATGACAATTTTGAATCGCATGCATCCAAACATAGCACAGCACACATTTCATCTTAACAATAATAACGTTGAAAATCACAGCATCCTTCCCTCTCTACACAACTTGATGCGGATAGTAGAACCCAAAAAGCATTAGAGATTTAAGAAATGAGAACCACTCCATGTCCCTAACAGTCCCATCAATATCAACAAGTTTTCATTAACTTATTATTTTTTTCAAAACATATGGCTGGGATGGTTTACACTACATTGAAATTGTATAGGTATTTACACAGAAATAGACAAATAGCAATATGTTTAATCTGGGTTCTTGGCTCAAGTGGTAGAGCACCTGCTTAGTAAGTACAAGGCCCTAGGTTCAAACTCCACTATAACCTCTCCATCTTCAAAATTCAGATATTATAAATAGACATGATATGTCTATTTAATCTGCTATAGTTTGATGAATCCTGAATAAATAACTTACCTGTACCTTATAAGTATTTATTGAGGTTTATAAGTACTTATTGAGGTTAATTTTTGTCCCCCTACCTCTTTAAGAAAGGCAAGTCTTTCAAAATGTCACCAACAAATTCATCAATAACCTTAGATGACATTGGGATAAATCCTAATTTAGGCATCTTTTCCTGAGAACTTTCTGTAAAAAACAAAAAAGAGAGACGATAAAATCAAAAGTAAAATTTCACACAGAAATGTTGCAGTTCCTTTTCAGAACTTTACATTTAAAATTTCTACATTGATCTTATTTATGTTGGCCAATCCCAATTCTTTTCATAAAGCTATATCTCATATTAACACATTTTGGAACACAGCTGAATATAAAGAAAAAGATAGGATTCAGACATGTAGGTGATTAGATAGATGGATGAGTGGAATGATGAGTGGTTGGATAAATAAATGATGACAAGAAAGAAAGAAAAAGAAAGAAAGAAAGAAAGAGAAAGGAAGGAAGGAAGGAAAGGAGGGAGGAGATAGGTAGACAGACAGACAGACAGACAGACAGATAGAAAGAAACAAAGAAGAATAGCAAACAGACAGATGATAGAGATTTACAGGCATAAGCAACCAGCATCCAGCTCTAAGAATAATTCTTTACATTCATTCCTAGTCCGCAAATTCTCCCATTGGCAATATCCAATCAGCTTTCTAACCCATTCTACAAGTTTAATTATCATAAAAAGTGAAAGCTTGAAAGCTTTTTGTTGTTTTATTCATGTTTCAGTTTTCATATTTAATTTCTTATATATTCTTAAATATACATGTAGTAATTGTGCTAATTACAAATTCTAAAGTACTTAAGCGTCCTAATGTGCTCTTAGACAATTTTCCCTATCATTTTTATAAATGTGTATTTGCATCCATGTTTGACAACGAATCCTATTAAAGAAGAGTTTTATGATTGTTCCTCATAAGAATTCGCCAGATCCCTCTGGTCACATTAGTTTTCTCCCTCTGGTCACGTTAGTTTTCTGGCTTAGAGTTTTCTCAATACATTAGTAGTTTTAATTTAAACCATAAGTTCTCAGAGCAATTTATTTTGCTACAGGCTGAGATTTTCTTTTAAACTTCCTCTGATGGAAGGTCTCCACTGCTAGCTATCTACTTAGAAAACCCTACCACCCTAACTCTTTTTCCTTTTAGCCTGTACAACCATTACCAGAGCTCATGAGTTCTGGCCTGGCCAAGAGATGTCCTTAATGTCCCCAGTCATACCAAAAACACAAATATTTCCCCCATGTCAACAGCCCTCTCAATACTTTTCCATTGATTAGCTATAAAAGTTCCAAGTCTGTAACCCCTCCCTGTGGTTTTCTTTCCAAAATATAGACTGTGCTGACATCTCCTCTATCTCTCCCTGCTTTTTTCAGTCTAAAAGATAGGTCTGGCCGGGCGCTGGTGGCTCACGCCTATAATCCTAGCTACTCAGGAGGCTGAGATCTGAGGATCACGGTTCAAAGCCAGCCCGGGCAGGAGAGACCGTGAGACTCCTATCTCCAATAAACCACCAGAAAACCGGAAGTGGCGCTGTAGCTCAAGTGGTAGAGCGCTCGCCTTGAGCTGAAGAGCTGAGGGACAGCGCCCAGGCCCAGAGTTCAAGCCCCACGACCGACAAAAAAAAAAAAAAGATAGGTCTGGGGAGAGTTAGCTTTTGAGGATTGCTCTTAAGACATACGTTGTGTCAACACAACAAATCAAAGAAAGGATGGACAGATGGGATTGCATGAAATTGCAGAGCTTCTGCATGGCAAAGGACATAGCTAGCAAGATCAATAGAAAGCCCACTCATTGGGAGAAGATCTTCACTAGCCATACAACGGACAAGAATCTCATATCTAAAATATACCTGGAACTCAAAACATTAAATCCTCCAACAACAAATCCTCAAAGAAACAACTGCCCAATAAATAAGTGGGCTAAAGACTTAAAGAGAAACTTCTCTGAAGAGGAAAGAAGGATAGCCAATAGACACATGAAGAAATGCTCAACCTCCCTAGCCATAAAAGAAATGCAAATCAAAACAACATTGAGATACCACTTCACTCCAGTTAGAATAGCTAAAATCAAGAACTCTAATAACAACAGATGCTGGAGGGGATGTGGACAGAAAGAAACCCTACTGCATTGTTGGTGGAAGTGTAAACTTGTTCAACCACTTTGGAAACTAGTGTGGAGGTTCCTGAAAAGACTCCACATAGAGCTCCCCTATGACCCAGCAATCCCACTTTGGGGCATTTACCTGAATGATCACAAACAAGACCATACTAAAGCTACCAGCACAACTATGTTTATTGCAGAATTATTTACCATAGCTAAGATATGGAACCAACCCAGATGCCCCTCAGTAGATGAATGGATCAAGAAAATGTGGTATGTATACACAATGGAATTCTATGCTTCCATCAGAAAGAATGACGTTGCCCCATTTGTTAGGAAATGGAAAGGCTTGGAAAAAATTATATTAAGTGAAGTAAGCCAGGCCCAAAGAAACATAGGTCCCATGGTTTCCTTTATTTGCAATAACTAGTATATGTCTGAGACAAGCAGAAACGGTCAGATAAGTTGATGTTATGTGATATGAACCCCAAGATAAGGACTCAAATGGTTTTTCTTTCTTGCTATTGTTTCTAACATATTTATAAGATGATTGTTTTGTTGCTTTCTATGTCCCTCCCCCACAGCATAACACCTGTTTTCACTGTATATGATGTTGGTATAATTTGGGAAGGGGAAGGGACAAAACAAATTGTTTAAATAGGGATACAGGTGGGCCCATTGCAACAATGAGATGTACAAGATGTTATGTCGAAAAACGAACTTTACAACTTTGGCGTGGGGGGGGGGAGGGTGGATAGAAATGGTAAGGGGAAACAAAGGAGGCGGCAACAATGCTTGATAAGAAACGTACTCATTACCTTGCTTATGTAATTGTAACCTCTCTGTATGTTATTTTCAAAATAAAAAAAAGAAAAGAAATTTCACTTTGCTACTATCTGCTCTTAGTGTCGTCTATAATTTTTGGACCCAGAGAGAATACAAGCATTTGGGGGCGGGGGGCACGGTGCAGATAGCATTGGCTTATAAAAAGGTTTATTAGATCACCCTTTATTCTTTGGCCCCTGAAAGTCTTCTTCTGATATTTATTTTATTATAAGAGAAGGTCTCACTGTGTGTTTCCCAGGTGAGTTTCTAATTGGTTCAAGTGATTGTTCAACCTCTGAAGTGCTGAGATTAATGGCTCCTGCCACCTTGGTGGATTTCCTCATTCTATTTTGAGCTTAACTATAATTATGTAAAATGATGTTGAGTATCTCTTCTCCAGCATATCAAGAAGTGTTGCAGCTGATCCGATTCCAAGAAAGTTTTCAATTGATTTAGACCACCATATTACTGGAAATGGAACTCACATCTATCTAGAGATGGTTCTTAAATTGGCAATAATATCAATTACAAGCAAAACATACATTTTCAAAATTATAGTCATAGCTTGCCACCCAAGAACATGATAATTATTAAAATTCAAAGTAGTAGAAAATTAACTATACTCACAGCATTGAGTGTAAACACATTTTTCAAAGGAACAATGCTTTAATCTCAAATTAAGTTACAAATCTCTTACCTTTGATGGGTGATAGTTTCTTTTTAAGAAAATGAAGTTTTGATGTTCTCAAAGGAAATGGCTTCCCCACATCAAACGTTCTTACCAACTTTGACACAGTATTCCAAAGATATTCATAATCTTTCATAATGGTTTTTCCCAGATGCAAATGTAGGCCTACATAATAGTGAACAACACTAAGTACTAAAACACATTCACAAATGCACAGAAGCTCATATTCTGGCTAAATTCATAAACCTCCAAAATACCGATCAAAAAGTGAACATTTTATTGAGTTGCACACTGGACTAAATAAAAATAGTCACTAGTTTTGACTATATGGTAACAAATTTTTAAGTTAATCTTGGATTTCAGATTGATAATTAAGTATTAATATTATAATTATCCTATCTTAACCAATATCATTTCTATTGGCACTAGATATTTATTATTTCAAATAATAAATATGCCATGCATAACTGTACAATTGATCATACTAAAATAGTTGAGTTTTGAGAGATAAAATTTAATAAGGATCATCATTTTACATGTTGCCAATTCACCCCAATGGTGACATATTAAGGAATCAAATTTAGAGATCAGAGAAGTTTCAATAATGCTGATGCCGTTTTCTGAAAACGTATTATATTTTTTCTTTAACTATTAAGAAGTATAAACTATTCAAAGAAAAAATTAGAATTACACATATCAAATATACAAAAAATTGATCTCTTGGAAAGCAATTAAAATTTCCTCAATATTATGTTTATCCTTGGGTCAACATATTATTATTATATCATGAGGTAATACCGTCAGCATTCTCGTTTTCATAGTAAAAAGCAATATTCTTCAACAAAACATCATCAGTTAGGTCAGAAAGGTAAACAGAATTCAGATCCCAAAATCTGAAGAGGCTTTTATTACTTAGGATGAAATAGTCACACCACTTTTTCTGAAATTTGAAAACAAATCCATGTTATAATCAATTTCCTTAAAGTATACGGTGACATCATCTCCCTTTATAATCTAACTGAAAGAGAAGCAGACAGGCCTGTCTCAATGCTTATTGATATATAAGCTTATTCAGGCTGGTTAGTGATGAATGCCTTATTCCTCGAAAGATTGAAGCATAAGATAAAATCAAAACTGACTTAAAAGCTATCTATCCATTCTCTTTTGAACCTGTAGCATCCCATACTTAGTCTGATCCCACCTTTGGCTTCATCGTAGCCCACCCTCATTCTTTCTGCTCCTGCTACACTAAGCAGATCTCAAGTCCTTGGTCATGCTATTCCCAAGACAATCACACATGCTATTTCAATTCCCAGAATGCAATTTCCATTCCTGGTATATACTACTAACTCCTATTCAAACGTTAGGTCTTGGGTTCCCTTCACTTCTTCATAAGAGAAGATATGCTTGGAAGACTAGGTTGGATCTTTCCACTGTCAAGATTCTAAAGTATCCTAAAGTTACTCTTTCATAGTAATGATTTAAATTAATTATCTGTTTTCTCTGTAACATGCGCTCCCTGAGGAGTTAATGTGGGGTGGGTAAGTATGTTTTTTTTCTCACTCTATTCCAGGATTAGCAAAATGCATATGAATGGGGAAGATGTTTATGGTCTAGATTCCTTATTGATTGAGTATAAAATTTTTTCCTTAAACCTTCTGATAATATGTATTAAGATCCTAAAACAAAGAAAGAAAAGAAAGAAGTCTTTGTCAACTCACACACACACACACACAAAACCCCAATAGCATGTATAATGACTATCAAGATCCTTGTAATAATCTATTATAGAGAAATAGATAAATAACTGTTATATACATTATAAGACAACTGCTAACTTAAATATGCTGATAACCAATGTTGTAAAAAAAAATTACAAGTAAGGCACTGATGGCTCATGCCTACAATCTTAGCTAATCGGGAGGCTGAGATCTAAGGATCCAGGTTTGAAGCCAGCCCAGGCAGGAAAGTTCATGAGACTCTAATCTCCAATTTATCACAGAAAAGCTGCAAGTAGAGCTGTGACTCAAGTAGACTCAAGAGAGCTAGCCATGATAAAAAACCAAAAACTCAAGAAGAGTACCCAGACCTTGACTTCAAACCCCAAAACCAGCACCAAAAAAAGAGGCATTTTCTTTCAGTTGTGTAGCTATCATGCTATTGGTCATTGCTACATAAACTCAAGTGATCGATTTAGGTTATCAAATCTTTAAAAATTCCAAGAAGCTAACACTGTTCTCCACTTAAGGTTACTGTGGTTTTATACATCAAGTAACTGAAACAAATTATAAGCCAATAAAGGGTACATTTACCATTTTAAAGAGAGTCTGAATTGCCTTAATCCAAGGAGCTGTGATGAATCTAGAGCAAGCTCGTTGAGGAAGAGGTAAGTTAAGTAGAAAAGCCATAGTGAGACAATGAAGTTTGCAAAAATCTTTCATCTCCGCCAGGCCTAAGCAGGAACCCTAAACAAAATAAGAAAGGTAATCTAGAGAACAGGAAACTGTGAAATCATATAAGCAACAAGCAGAACCACAAATATGGGCAGCTACATTTCGCTGAATAGGAATTGCCATTTGTTTTCATTGTATATGTTTGAGGCAGTACATGACCTAGCCTGTATTTGCATGTTGGAGATAAGGGAAAAGGAAGTTTCCAATCATAATAGCAGTAATGTCAGACTTTGTTCAGCAAAGTCTTAAAGCTCAGCAAGCAGCTATTATGATTGAGACTCTACCAGATTCTGCCTGGTGCAGCTACACTCTAATGGCTCTCTTCTGTTCCAGAAAGAATGCTCTAACACTGAATGTGCACATCACCAGGTGCAGCTACACTCTAATGGCTCTCTTCTGTTCCAGAAAGAATGCTCTAACACTGAATGTGCACATCACCAGGAAGAGGACACCAGGATGGCAATATATCTGTGTTCAGGACAAATGGAAAGAAGTGGACAGTGCATGGTAGGATGAAGATGCCACCATTGTCTTCAAGTATTTACAGAAAACAGAAGTACGATGGCATCCAGGAGTCTTCCAAGAGCCAAGCAGTCTCATGATTGGTAGAAAAGATCACAGAGATTGATTTGCCCTGATAGGATTTTTGTGAGAATTATTTTAAATAGCGTGCTTAGGGCACCTCAACACATAGACAGGTTTCACTAAGGACCTAATGGCAAATAAAATAGAAGCATTAAGTAAAAGGTAATACTCACCATCCATTTCTGGAGGAAAGAGCTAAAACTTCATTAAGAATCTTCAGTTACCGGGCACCAGTGACTCTTACTAGCTACTCAGGAGGCTGAGATCTGAGGATTGCGGTTTGAAGCCAGCCCAGGCAATAAAGTCTGTGAGTCTCTTATCTCCAATAAACTACTTAGAAAAAGCCAGAAGTGGTGCTGTGGCTCAAGTGGTAGAGCATTATTAGCCTTGAGCACCAAAGAGGCTCAGGGACAGTGTCCAGCCCCAGAGCTCAAGCTCCACAACCAAAAACAACAACAACAAAAATCCTTAGTAACTCAATTGCATACAAAACAGTATGTAGATGTGTGTGTGTATACATATATGCAGAGATGAATGTTTACTTGAAATCAGATTGGTCAAATGATTTTTGACCTTAGCAGAAAGTTAAATACCGTAACCACAATTACTCTCTCCAGCCAGGAAAAGACAAGAACCACAGCAGGAATGGTTCTTAAAAGGACAATGTGGTATTGTGGAACTTGCACCTACCACTCTTGCATTCCATCCTCATTGCTCATTCACACCTTTAGTTTGAATGCTACCTGAAACATCTCAAACTCAGTGTTTCCACTTGTAAAATAGGGATAATAATGCTTGTCTTGAAACACTGCTGGGAGCTTTAGGGGCAAAATACCTTTTTAAAAAAAAAAAGTCAAGAGCACAGTACAATTCCCAAGGACCCGTAGGAGGTGGAGCTATGGAGGATCATAGAGAAGAAAAGCCTGTAAGACTCTTATCTCCAAAATAACCAATAAAAATCAAACTAGCTCAAATGACAGCGCGCCAGCTAAGCAAGTAAGCTAAGCAATCATGAGGCCCAATAGTATAAAACAGGAATTGAAGCCCCAATAGTAGGAAAAAAAAAAAAAAAAACAAGGCTAAAAGTAGAAAGAGATGGTGTTTCTTAGTAAAGCTGTAAGGAACCTACCTGTTGTTTGTTGTTGTTTTTAGAAGAAATGGCCTTCTTTTTCTTGGGTAAAAAGTCATGATTTATTTGCAAAAACAATGAACATGAAGTAACACAAAATACACGTTGAACATCAGATCTTTCTGGCCAGATTTTCTTAAGCAGTGATATAATCTCAGATGCCTGTCACAAATAAGTATAACATGGTATGATATTTAGAAAAAATGTTTATTCACAACAGCATATTAAAAAGATCACAAACCATAATCACACAGGTTTCATTTAAAGATGCAAAGATGGTTCATCATACACATATCAACAAATGTAATAAAGCACATAAACAGAATCGCAGACAGAAGACCATTCACATGATCATCTCAAAAGATGCCACAAAACCTTTCAGATAAAGGCTCTTCTAAAGTCATGAATAAGACAAGGGTGTCCATTCTCCCTACTCTTGTTCAAAATAATACTGGAACTCATAACTAGAGAAATAAGGCCAGAGAAAGAAATAAGAGATTCAAACAGGGGAAAAAAAGATTAAATTATCCCTATTTACTGATGGAAATATCCTGTACTTAAAAGATCCAAAGATTGCACCCAAAAAAAATCCTTCCTAGATTTGACAAACATCTTTCATCAACATAGCAAGATATAAAATCAGTGTATGTAATGAGCCACTTTTCTATACATCAACAATTAAGTGTCTGGGAATAAAATCAGGAAAACAATTCTGTTCACAATCACTTCAATAAGAATAAAACATCTTAAGAATAAACTAAGAAGGTGAAAAACCTCAACAATGAAAACCATCAAACCTTAAGAAGTTGAAGAAGATACCAAAAGATAAAAAGACCTCCCATGTTCGTTGATTAGAAGAATAAATACTGTGAAAATGGCTATACTACCTAAAGCAATCTACATTCAGATTCAATATGATCTGATCAATACTTTTCAACAACAAGGTCTTGACTAAGAACCAGTACAAAATGAAGACTAGAGAGACATAGCAACTAAATGAACATGTTTTCCTGGATACTGATACAGTAATCCTGATACAGAAAAAAATGCAGCAGTGATAAACTAAGTGAAATTCACCTAAGCTCTTAATTGAAACTATCCTGTCAATGCAATTTCCTGGTGTTTATAACTGCACCATGGATATATAAGAAAACTAACACCAGAGGAAACTTTGTGAGTAGTCATGAAAACTCTTGCCATTTTTGAAACGTTTTATGATTAAAATAGTCAATTCTATTTTAAAAATGTTTTAATCTCATTACCTTTTCCAGCACAGTATCCCATTTTAAATCTCTAAAGAGAGTTGCTACTGCAGAGGTTCTGTTCTCTTCCAATTGTTTAAGCAGGGATTTGTACACAGTCCAAATCTGCGTTCTATTCTGTAAAGCAAAGGAAAGTCAAGTGCATTGCCAAAAAGAAAATATCTAAGTATTTTCCAACTTCAAAAAATCAAATACTTAAGACATAATTGTATTATAATATTGTTCTCTGTAAAACACGTTGTACTGTTAGAGAGGGTCACCAGTAAAAAGCCTGCCAAGTAGTACTATTTTATCTTTGCTGAGAATACAGAATACTATACAATATACAATACATAACACTATCTTTACTGAGAATATAGTGGATTAGGTTTTTAAACAAAATAAAATAATATGAAAATCCCCTCTTCTTAAATGTACAATTTAATGGATTTTAGTAAATTTACCTGGTTTTGTAACCATCAACACAATCTAGTTTTAGACTGTTTGATAAAAACTACCCACAGGAAACATCATAACCATTTAATGCAATAAGGGTATGATGAATTCCCCACCAACATGAATGAATAAAAACATATCTTATTCACTAACAGATGCTATCCTAGCAATAGGTATTATCAGTGTTTTAAATTGCCTGCCCACTAGACTTGAAATAAATATTCATTGAATATGTATTCCTGTGTCTTTTTTAATTCTAGTCCAAGTTGAACTCGAATGAAATTGCATCTTTAAAGCCAATGTTCACTGTATTAAGAAATAAATTCTCTTTACCAGTAATAAACTCCATCCTTAAGGAAAACTATTCTTAAGCAGAGACTGGACAGAATGTTTGTAGGGCACTTTAAATTCAGATGCAGAAATTTCTCTAACAGATTAAAATGAACTGAATTGATAAAAAGTATTTGCTTCCTCTTGGGCTGGGAAGGTGGCTCAGTGATAGAGCGCTTGCCTTGCATGCATGAGGCCCTGGGTTCGATTCCTCAGCACCACATAAGCAAAAAGAAAAAAAAGCCAGAAGTGGTGCTGTGGTTCAAGTGGTAGAGCACTAGCCTTGAGCTGAAGAGCTCAGGGACAGTGCCCAGGCCCAGAGTTCAGGCCCCACGACCGGACCAAAAAAAAAAGTATTTCCTTCCTCTCAATAGGAAAATGAAGCCTGGGCCTGTCCCTGCTCATAGATGGCAACGTGTGTGTGTGTGTGTGTGTGTGTGTGTGTGTGTGTGTGTGTGTGTGTGTGTGTGTGTGTGTGTGTTTTACTTTGGGATTTTGTGTGTGTGTGTGTGTGTGTGTGTGTGTGTGTGTGTGTGTGTGTGTGTGTGTTTTACTTTGGGATTTTTCCTCCACTTTGGGATTTTTACTGCTAACTGGAGATTAAAAAAAATAAGTAAAAATAAAAAAACTCTCAGATTTGTCTGCTCAACATAGTTTTGAACCATATCCTCAGCTCTCAGCCTTTTTAGTAACTAGGATTACAGTTGTGAACTACTATTGACAAATGTACATTTTTCCAAATATGGGAGGAATATAACACAATTCTCAAAGATTAACAGATATTAGTTGGCTCAAAAATTCTTTGATGAAATATAGTGAAAAAATATAAAACAGAAACTGGATTTATTTCCAAAGTCACTGTGTTTATTTTTTTCTCTGAAAATTTCAATTGAGTTGTTAAATCTACATAGTTATCAATTAGTTATAAATTTGGCAAAATAATTAGAGAATGGCATCAGAATTCTAAACTCTTAGAAAAATCTATTAATGAGTTGAATATTCCACAATTAACCTATCTTAATTCTTTTCCTTCTTCATTAACCTACTCTTGCAATTCTCAGTAAAGGTGAGCCTATTAACTACCATTTCACTAGTATGTCAGTAAGAGAAATGTAATTTTTGCCTCTAAATGCATTTTGGCCTTCACTCCCTTGCAGTCAATATGCCACACAGTAGCTAAAGGCAAAGGAGTAGAAATCCGTGGTTTCATTCCAAATCCATACTCAGCTACTCCTCTGTTGTTAGTGATAAATAGATTATGGGTACAAACATCTGTTTCTTTTGATTGTTTGTTTTTGTTTTGTTGTTGTTGTTGTTGTTTTTGTTCTTTTTTTGTAGGTAGTGGGGCTTCAACTATGGGCTTAGGTGATGTCCCTGCGCTCTTCAGCTCAAGGCCAGAGCTTTACTACTTGAGCCAGAGCACCACTTCTGGTTTTCTAGTGTTTTATTGGAAATAGGAGTCTCACAGACTTTCCTGCCGGGGCTGGCTTTGAACCATGATCCTCAGATCTCAGCCTCCTTGTAGCTAGGATTACAGGCTTGAGCCACCGGCACCTAGCTAAACATCTGTTTCTTAATCTGTAAAATTTCCCTTAGAAAAATTTTGTGAAAATTAAATAAAAATCACTCATGAGTACCAGAACTACAGTATAACAAGAAGTACTCAATAATGTACTATGTCTATATCATTGCTATTAATTTATTACTATTATTAACGATTTTTCTTTCTCTCTATTAAATTTGTGATTATTTCTATATAGGAAGTATAAAAGAAGCTAAGTAAAGAAATTTAGAGAATTTTGTAAAAGAACATTGTCTCTTTTAGATGGATAGATATAAAAATTACCTTCGATAAAAGCTTCACATCATCATACAAGCTTGGCATAAAGTAAGCATAAAGTCGAAGAATGTCAGATGCTTGTCCTGAAAAGAGCACAATATTGACTCTCATTGCCCAACAGTGAATGATTAAAAAGTTGAAAAGATGTGTTTGCAACTGGTTCAGGCCTTCATCTGCAACTATCAGGAAATATGGGCAAGTCTCTTTCAAGCAAGTTTGCCACTCTGGTGAAAAGCATCTAGAAAATTCAGTCCAAACATCAACGGTGGTATTTTTCTGAAGATGAAGAATTAAAGCAGTTCGCAAAGGAAGAAGTTCTGGGAAGCTGAAGTAGGCATACTCAGCATCCTGTGGAAAAGGAGATGGTAACATCCATTACTTCGATATTATCATCTAGTGTTTTGCTTATGTCACTGGTCAGCACACCCATTAAAAGCATAAAGGTATAATACAAAACTCAATAGCATGCTGTCATATAATCAGGGAATAGCCTCTAAAAGTTTGCCAAACACAATTTAGATTTATAAACAGCATATGGTCAGCATATCACACTCAATGTTAATCACACTTTCTCTTCCTCCTCTAATCCTTTCCTTCTCCATTCTCATTTCAAAAAGCAAAAGGACCAAAGAAAAGGTGAAAAGTAAATTATAGATATAAATTATCTGCAAGGATAAGCTGAAATGAATCCCTTTGTTCTAGAGGATTGCTCCAGACTACAGAGAATGTCCTTATGCCCCATAGTTTTTTCTCACCAGATCAAAACCTCTACAGTCAACTAGATTGTACACATTAGATCAGAGCACCAGAACTTTATTCAAACCCTTGAAGCCAGGAATGGTGAGACACACCAATAATCCCAGAGAAGTCAGAGATGAGACAAGAAGATAGAGTTTTGAAACTAGCAAGGCACCCTACCTCAAAAACAAACTAAAGATAAAAGGGTTAGGCCAGGCACCGGTGGCTCACGCCTATAATCCTAGCTACTAAGTAGACTGAGATCCGAGGATCACGGTTCAAAGCCAGCCCAGGTAGGAAAGACCATGAGACTCTTATCTCCAATAAACCACTCGGAAAACCGGAAGTGGTACTGTGGCTCAAGTGGTAGAGCACTAGCCTTGAGCTGAAGAGCTGAGGGACAGTGCCCAGGCCCAGAGTTCAAGCCCCACAACCAACCAAAAAAAAAAAAAAGATAAAAAGGCTAGAAGTGTGGTACAAGTAGTAGAGTATGCCCTAGGTTCAAACCTCAGTTATCGCCAAAGTCAAAAATCAAAACCATAACAACATCATGGCTGACAACTCAACAATGTTCAAAAATATAACAGTATTGTGATTGCAACATGATCAAGAAGAACCAGACTAAAACTATTGAGTATCATTAGTCACTTCGGGGGTTTTAGGATCTTAGGGTTTTGCATATTAGTTACTTTTAGGGTTAGGAGAGGTTAAAAATATATCTGTATTTGAAATTGTTAAAACTTTATTCCTTATATTCATAGTCAGAAAAGGAATACTACCTATGATATTGTCTTGAAGGCATTTCCTAAAGGGAAAGGAACAAAGCAGGGTTAGTGAATGTGTGGGCTCAAATATGTTTTATTTGGGATTCAAGTACCTTTGCTAAGTTTTGTTTAGTATCTTTCCTAAGCTTCAAGTTTCTGTGCTAAGTTTTGAAGACAGAAGCAGTTCTCAGAGGAGGAAGACTAGAAACTAGAGATTAACTGAGCCATTACAGAGATTTCTTATCCACTTTCATGATTTTATGTGTCCTGACAATAAAGTTCTATTATTGTAAATAATGTTTCTAAAAATAAAGAAACACTCTGAATACACCTGCAGTTCTAGCTACTGAGGAAAGTTAGAAGCAAAAAGGGGGAAGATTTGCAGCTTAAGGCTATCCAAGGCAAATTAACAAGACTCCAGCTCAAAAACAAACTAAAACCAAAAAACAGCTGGGTATGGCTCAAGTGGTAGAGCAAGAAAGGCCCTGGGTTTAATCACCAGTACCAGAAAAAAAGAAAAAGAAAAATCTCTCAAGGATGAGAATTCCTACATACTAAGATTTGGGAATCATTTTTCCTCTTTCTCTCTTTAAATTTTAGTTATAATCTTTATATTACATAAACCCAACCATCACACGGTACCTTGAAGAAAACTACAGCAAAATGGCCTCCTTTGTTAATGAGATCCAAGAGATAGCATTCAACCAGGTAGAAGAAATGGAGACTCTGCCCCTGCTTCAGTGACTTCTCACATATACACGTGATCAGTAAGGAGTCTCCATCGATCAGAAAAAACTCAGATTCAACGAAGTCATTCAACAAGCTGGAATACCTAAGAAAACAAACAACAAAAAGAAATTAAATGAAAAAGAGATTTGGATTCAATAATTCCCCCTAAAAGCTGTATTATTGTTACTATCACATTACTATCACCAGTAGCAGATGAATTTGTTATATATACCTATATATAATAAATAGGCAGTTATGTATTAATATATAACTACGTACAAGTATATATACTGATATAATGTATATACATGTACAAGATCATGCTGAGATAGATATCATCAGCTATGCTGACACTTTCTGCAATAAAGATCTTTATTCTAAGAAAATACTCACTCTGCAGTTGGCATTTTATTCAGAATTAACTGTGAAATTGCCTCTAACAACGCCATGGGTTGTTCTAAAGAGAGTGGATTATTTTCAGTCATTCCTTCAAGCTCACAGTTGTTACCTGAGGAATAAGAAACAGTATTTTAACTGCTTTAACTCAATTAAATCTGTATAGCTTCTATTTCATAATTCTGAAGATATTTTGAATTGAAAATTACCCACTCTTGCAGCTACCTTAGCCTTCAGCCTGAAGGGCAAGTATTAAATATCGTAATTATCTGTCACTCTGTCTTCTCCAAATAACAGTTGTTCATGAGAATGGTAGACCTGAAAAGAAAGGGGAAAATTCAAGTCACGATTCTACCCATAAACATGGACTGAATGACGATGACACATTAAGCAAAATATTAGGCACCAGGAATGTAAGAAGTAACAAAGCCCCAAGCGCTGGAGGCTCACGCCTGTAATCCCCGCTGCTCGGGAGTCTGAGAACTGAGGGTCGTGTTTGAAGCCAGTGTAGACAGGACAGGCTGAGACTGTCATCTGCAATTCACCAGAAGGGGGCTGTGGCTGGAAGCTGTGGAGTGGCAGCCTTCAGCGGAACAGCTCGGGGGCAGAGGCCGGTCCCTGAGTTCAAGCGCCACGACCACCACCGACAAAAGAACAGCTACAACAAAAACAGGAAGAAGATGACGAAAGAAAAATAGCAAAGCCAACACAATACCCCTTTCCCACACGCGGCCCACACGTGCGGCTGCCTGGCTTGCTGCCTCGGCTCCCGTGGGCCCGGCGGGGGCGATCCCGCGCCCAGGGGCTGCCGGCTCGGCTCGTGCAGACTTCCGGGAGCCCCGCACAGCTGTCGGGGCAACGCGGGTGACATCGGCACGGACCCCGCGCGGGACACGGCCCTGCCACGGTCCCCTCGCCCCCCCCAGCCGGCTTTGGCCCGCCACGATCGGCCGCGCAGGCGTCAAGCCGGTTTGAGCCGGATCCAGCCAGATGGAACGGGATCAAACCGGAAACCGGTTTGAGCCGGATGGAACCAGATGGAACCAGAACCGGATCGAACCAGATCGAGCCGGTTTGAACCGGATCGAACTGGATGAAGCCGGTTTGAGCCGGATGTAACCGGTTCCAAACTGGATTAAACAAGATTAAACCTGTATAAGCCGGACTGAGCCAGATTGAACCGGCTCGAGCCAGATTAAACTGGTTTTGAGCCAGATTCAACCGGATTGAGAGGATGGAAGGAGGGAGGGAGGGAGGAAGGAATTATATCAACCACAAGTTACACTTCTTTACATTTCATATCCTTTTTACATTTCTAATGCCCACATAGAAATAGGTAACTTTCTTTCTTTTTTTTTTTGGGTCCGGTCGTGGGGCCTGAACTCTGGGCCTGGGCACTGTCCCTCAGCTCTTCAGCTCAAGGCTAGTGCTCTACCACTTGAGCCACAGCACCACTTCTGGCTTTTTTCTTTTTGCTTATGTGGTGCTGAGGAATGGAACCCAGGGCCTCATGCATGCAAGGCAAGCGCTCTACCACTGAGCCACCTTCCCAGCTCAGAAAGAGGTAACCTTCTATATCCAAATCAGAGTGAAGCAAGTGAGCAAAATGTCTTTGGACTGTCTCCGTGGCTGACACACGCTAGCCCTTGGAGTCAAGGGCAAGGAATGCTCATTTTTAAATACCTCACTCTACCTCCTGGAGAAAGAAAATCACAGTTTTGAGTCCCCTTGGCCAAAAGCCCCAGGGGTTGTCTATCTTTTTCATTTTCTACACCATGTCTGACTTAATGTTCTAATCATATTAAACATGTGACTTTAAAAAAAAGAATTATTAATCATAAAATCATATAAAAATGGAAAATCACAAATGTGACAAAAGAGATAAGGGGAAACTTCCATAAAGAAACAATGTTTGAGATAAATTTTTGAAGAGAAGAACAGAATTAGTTGAGCGAAAGTATAGAAGTAGCATTCTGAGCAGAGCAAATACAAGAATATTACACATAAAGGTCCTGTGGTCTGAAATAATGTGGAAGGAGTAAATTCCTAAAAGAAGGCAGTAGGCTGGCGTTAAGAAGAGTAACTGGAACCATTAGCCGTGCAGAAGAGGGCTAAAGCAATCTAAGAGCACACAGAACCTTTGAGAGGATGTTACACAATTTTTTCATCCTAAAAATAAGAAAATAGCCATTTTGAAATGATTGCTCCAACTATAGTGCAAAGAACAGACAGAATGGAAGCAATACCCCTGTTAGTGGAATGGGCAAAATGGCATTTGATAGAATTTGATGGAATTACAAATTGATGGGAGGGGCTGAGCTAATAAAGATAAGATGAGAAACTATATGACATCTTGCAGACTCTGCAGGTCATTTTACATGAGAAAGTACAAGGTGACCGATTGGAGACAAGGTGAGAAAGGCCAGGGTGATCAGAATCTTATGCTCATGTAAGGAGTTTAGGCATTTTCCTGATATGTTTGTCACTCACGCAACCCACCACCTGACTCATTATATACAAGCTGCACGGCCTTCCTTCCATTCTCTCAACTGTACCTCGCTCAAGTGATGAAAGACAATGCAGTGAAAACTACGCAGGTCAGAGAAAAATGAACCGTAAGCATGTACAGAAGATGAGAAGATCTTCATCAGATAACATCCAACTCTACAGAATAACAAATGAATTCATAGGTTCACAGACAGCCACAGTGCCTTTAGTGTGTCCAGAATTTTCATGGAATCTCATGAAAAATAAAATTATAAACACCCAATGGCTTCATTTACTAAATAGTTCTCTCTAAACAAATTAGTATTTTATCCTAACAAGTAAGAAGTTGTAAATCGTTTAAACAGGGATACAACTGAACCCATTGCAACAATGAGATGTACAAGTCGTTATGTGGAAAACGAACTTTACAATTTTTGGGGGGGGGAGGGGGGGGGGAGAGGGCGGTGGGCGGGGGGGAGAGGGCGGTGGGGGGGGGGAGGGCGGTGGGCGGGGAGGATTGGGGAGGGGGGGAAGGGATGGGAAGGGGAAACAAAGGAGAAGGCTACAATACTTGATAAGAAATGCACTCATTATCTTGCCCATGTAATTGTAACCCCTCTGTACAGTATTTTCACAATAAAAAATATTTAATAAGAAGTTGTTTGAAGAAATAATGCACAAAAATTGAAAGAAATAATATAGTATTTTTGGTTAAATATAACAAGTAATGGGATGTGGATGTCTATTAAAAACAGCACTATTTATTCAACAGTAGCCATGGTGTAGAATAAACCCTCCATAACCTGACAACTAACAGCTCCCACAGCCTCCTGCTTTCATGTACCCTACAAGAAATCTTCTGTATTAAGGTCTACAATTTACAATTATTGTCTCTTCTCTCTCAAATAAGGGATAAACATACTATAGAGAAAATAATGCACCCCCTGTCATAACTGTTGAATGAACATACATACACACAAATTATACGTGTTTTCAGATGGGAAAGACACCAAAAAGGAGGAGGAGGAGGAGGAGGAGGAGGAGGAGGAGGGAAGGAAAGGAAGAGGGAGGGAGGGAGAGAGAAGAGGGAAGGAAGGAAGGAAGGAAGGAAGGAAGGAAGGAAGGAAGGAAGGAAGGAAGGAAGGAGAGAGGGAAGGAGGAAGGAAGAAAGGAAGGAAGGAAGGAAGGAAGAGAGGAAGGGAGGGAGGAAGGAAGGAAGGAAGGGCTACATCAATAAGCGAAATTCAGAAATAGTATAGATCTTTAAAAGTTCTTATTAATATTGCCAAGGAATCAAAATGGATATCATCAAATAATTACCAAAGCAAAGAGAGTGAGCACAAGCACAAAGTTTAAGAGATAATTTCAGAAAAAGATTAGTATGAAACTAAACACAATGGAATACGCCTGTAGTATATTTTCAGCTACTCAGTAGGTCAAAGAAAGATCACAAATTCTATTCCAGTCTATGGCAACTTAATAACACTTTGTTGAGAGAAAATAACCCTTAGCTAAGGGCCAGAAAGAAAGCCTGGTGCTTCAACCCACTAGATTTGAGGAAGGAATTGTTCCCATCGGAATGATCACCCTAGTCCAACCCAGGCAGGCACCTTGAATCCGGCCAGGAGAGAGGCCCGGTGAGGATGCAGGACACCCCGCTGCCTGGCCTTCTAATCCACCAAAAGTGCAAAGTAATAAATTTGCAGTTTAAACCAAAGATGGTGGTGCGTGCCTGTAATCTTAAGCACTTAGGAGGCTGAGGCAGAAGGATCTATCTAGTTGGAAGCCAACAAGGATTACATATTGAAACAGTAAACAAAAATGGAGTTGACTGGTTGGTTAGGTGGTTATTGCTGTTATGTAACGTGCAGATTCTGATTGTGTGCGTGTGGTCCTGTATCTGCCAGGAAAAAGAAGACAATTTCCTGTTTTCGAGGTGCAAGTTTTATTCACTGTGTCAGATCTGAGATCTTTCCTCATTCTGGGGGGAGGATGTGAAAGGTAAACAAAGGAGGAGGCTGCAATGCTTGATAAGAAATGTACTCATTATCTTGCCCATGTAATTGTAACCCCTCTGTACAGTATTTTCACAATGAAGAAGAAGAAGAGGAGGAGGAGGCGGAGGAGGAGGAAGAAGAAGAAGAGGAGGAGGAGGAGGAGGAGGAGGAGGAGGAGGAGGAGGAGGAAGAAGAAGAAGAAGAAGAAGAAGAAGAAGAAGAAGAAGAAGAAGAAGAAGAAGAAGAAGAAGAAGAAGAAGAAGAAGAAGACCCATCCATTTCCCCAATCATGTCTACCTGCCCCTCTCCCTTCCTTCCCTTCTCCCTCTTCAACCTCTGGCCTCCGCTGCCAGGCTGGGGGAGGGGGGTGTCTGTGCACAGCTGGCTTTGCAACCCCAACCCACCACCCTACCTCCACCCCACCCCCACCGTCCCTATCCACCCAGCTGTGGTCACCTTACCTCTCAGAATAGCTCAGCTCCAGCCCCTTCTTTGGGACACACCTCTCCTGGATCCCCTATCCACCCCCCCCCCCCCCCCACACACACACACACCTCAAAGCGCTCGCTGGCTCTGGGGCACCTCCCTCTTCTTACCCGGATCCAGGCAGGACTTGCTGCTGAGCCCCGCAGATTGGAGTGCACTGGGCACCCTAGCGCTCTCAAGCAGTCTTTTATACCTGAGTCCTTGCTTTCAGTTTCCTTTCTCCTCCCAGGAGCGCTAAGTTTCTGTTTCCTTTTCTCCTGAGTTGGGTAAAGTCGATCTGGAGAAAGTGGCTTTATGCCTGTCTTCAATCGAATTTTAATGTACGGGAAGAAAAAAGCATAGACAATAATAAAGAGCCGGCTCCTCTGGCGTCAATATAGAGGGGCAGAGAGATTTAAGGCCCTTTGAAACAAGACAAAACAAGAAGTGCTAGAAAGAGGTAGAACGCCGGTGAATCTAAAACGTCCACGGTGAGATAAGGGGCATCGCTGTTCCCATTTGTGTGTAAATGGAAAAATAAAAAAAAAAAAAGACTAAGATCCCTGACTACCTAAGTGTCTGTCCTGATCGGGCTGATGAGTCGCAGTCTGCAGGAGCCCTGTTTCCAACTTTTCCACGAGCCATTTAAAAATTAAACTGACAAGGTCAGTCTGCTTTCTGGAATGTCTTCTACTTTTCACTTGGAAGTTTTTAACCTGTTGACTCCTGATGTGCCTAATTGCATGGATGCTACGCATAGATAAATGCCTCGGAATTCTCGGCGGTGGAGCTGTGGGTTTGGATAATTTGCTGAAAACAGTAAACCCAGGCTGCTTTGCCTGGAAGACAGGAACGGAGCTCTGAAGGGCCCCCCTTTTTTTCACTTTTAAGAGGCAACTTGTTCAAGAGAAAAAGGTGGGGGTGAGAAAGAGGCCTTTCTCACGTTCACGAGATATTCATGCATCCCCTTGTTTATTGGGGAAAATGTTACATAGTTGTTTATGATGATGTTGAGAAAGAAATCAAAAGAAGCTGGAAAGAAAGAAAAAGAAAGGAAAGGAAGGAAGGAAAAAAAGAAAGGAAGGAAAGAGGAAAGGAAGGAAGGAGGAAAGAAAGAAAGAAGGAAAGAAAGGAAGGAAGGAAAGAAGGAAGAAAGAAAGAAAGGAAGAAAGAAAGAAAAGAAAGAAGGAAGGAAGGAAGGAAGGTAGCACATTATCTGTCACAAACCATCTGGTTATGGAATGCACCTACACGGATACCTCCCATGCGGCACCTGACATTGACCTTTCCCACCTCCCTCCAACCCAGCCAATATGCTATCTCTGTGAACATACTCACAGAGTAGTTGGCAGAAGAGACTACATTAAGGATTTGGGGACAGGTGAATTGTCCTGTATTAGCCAGGTTGACTCCAGTAATCACAAGGACCCTTAAGCGAGGGAGGCAAGGACTCAGAGAAGGTAAAGACAGGAAGTGAAAGACTGTGAAGATGGAGGAAAAACCACAAGCCAAAAACTAAATGGTCCATGGTAGTGGGCAAAAGCATGGGAGCTCTTGTTTCGGTTTCGGTTTAGTTTTTTCCCTCTTAGAGCTTTAATGAACCAGCCCTGATGATGCTGGGACATGAGCCCAGGAAAACTGATCCTCAGAGCTCTACAGGGATTTTTGTATTGCTTTAAGTCACTACATTTGTGATAACCGTATACACTAATAATATTAGGAAACTAATAACTCATTTGTTCTGAGCAAAAAATAGTGGATTGTGTTATAATAAGAGACAGTGTTACCTCAGGAGGCTACTGTGTCTCAGAAAGGTACTGATAGCCTCAGACTTATTGTCACATTAATTCTCACAATTAATTCACTGTGCTAAGATTCAAAACTTGGCTTAACCCAAATTTCTACTTACAATATTCTCTATTACATAAACTCTCTGAGACATGTGCCAAATCCTATATCTGATAGTCTTCATGTGAAGGAAGGAATTGTTGCCTTTTGCTTTCTTTTATGGTGAAACTGCTAAGATTTTGGTAAAAATGATGTTCTGTATTTGCCTTAATTTCTCTTGACTTCAGATTGACCAGGTGTGAACATGGTCCCATCTTCCATCTTCCTCCATGTCTTTGTGTGCTTTATGATGCTTTTACCGCATACCACTGACTGGATCATTTATAAAGAGATGGAACTGAGTTCTCATAAGTCCAATTTGGAGACTAAGAAGTCCAGTTTCCAGAAAGACAGCATCTGGCAAAAGGATCTCAGAGCGACATTGGACCATGGAGGCTGGCAAGGGAAGGAGAGAGGCAGATCACGGCCTCTGATGGTGGAGGCCTACACCCTGAATACCTCCAGCTGGGGTCTACCTTCCAGGTCATTGCCTTGGGGATTAAGTGTCTAGTACATGAATCGGGTGGAACATGTTCAAACCATGACACACCCAAAGTATGTAAACAAGGCATACAAGCTGCTCACTAGTTTTTCTTCTCCACCTCAGACACCCATGATTATCCTCTACCTCCACCTCCCACGATTACATCCTGGACTTTGTTCAAAAATAAGATAATTACATTGTGTTCTAATTTTCAGACCTCTCCCTTTGGGCTTTGCACTTTATTTAGCCTCCTAGGATTCTTGAATGTTTGTCCTGCCTGGGCGAAGGCCATGAGCTAACACTTCAACTATTCTCTAACCAACAGGGTCAGCTGCTGGTGTCTACCCCTGCCCAAAATTAGACAAATCGGGATCAAGTCAACTCTTCTTTCTCCTGTCTGGACACTAAGGAGAAATGGCCCAGTTTGCATTCCATCTAATGGATTGTTCACAAACATCCTGGGCAAGTGGGTACCAAAAATCACAGGCTTAGCATCTGCAAATGTCTCTGCATTCTGGAGAGTCTAGTATGTATGTGACGAGTCAATGGTTCTCACTGATTCATAGCACAGTACAGAGGAGGGACAATACAAGTAGCAGAGATGTCACAAAACACCACAGGAAGCTCGCCACGGCTGAGGCTACTGACTGCAGGACCTGCTGGCTTCAGTGTGGACAGATGTCACAGCATTTTGTGAAGGGGACCCTCCATTTAAGATCAGCTGATTGACTGTAAAATAAAGTCATATTGGTAAATATGGAATATGGCACCTCCAGCACTCAAAGGACTAGAAGATTCTGGACTTGTCTTCACCCTGGTGGGTACTGAAAGGGACAGTTGTATAAACAGGGTCAAAGATAGAGCAGTCTTCCGTTCGCCAAACAATTTTCAGGAATTTAACCAGGGGACCAAGCCTTGTACCTTTGTAAACAAAAGCCTTCTGTAAGTGTGTTTGTGAATGCTTACATGTCCTGAAAGAATGACACAAATGGATCTCCATAGAGGAGATTGTCAGGGGTAAAATGTCACATTCATCCCTGGAGAAAGGTGGATGCAGTAAGATTTTTTTCCTATAGGAATGGTGTTTAGTGGCCGGATCACTGGAGTATCAGTGAGCAGTGTAGTAGAAGTGGATTTTACTCCTGAGAAGGGAAGTCAACCAGTAGCACAGAGGCTTTTTAAATAGAAACTTAACAGAACACATTAACCAAATCTTTGCCAGCAAATTAGTTGTTAGTTTGTCATTGGAGAGAACCAGTGTTTCAACAATATTGTGTATTAAGGAATGGTGACGTGGCAAAAGCCACATTTTCCAGGCAGTGGTAATCCACTTAAGAATGAAGAAACCTTCCATTCTTTCCAAGATTAGTAACAGGATAGTGGGAGGAATACATTGTCACCTGTATGTTGACTAAGTCTATAGATAAAACTAAATGCTCAGTGATTTAACACCAAATGATGTTGCCTGTTGCTTTGTCTCCATTCTGATGTGATTGTTTCCAGAGCTTGTCCAGTATGTGATTTTGTAAGGAAATTAAATGCTGCTGATTTTTGTTTTTTAAAGCCAAGATAGCTGGGCACCTATGGCTCATGCCTATAATCCCAGCTACTCAGGAGGCTGAGTAGAGATCTAAGGATCAAGATTTGAAATCAGCTCTGGTAGAAAAGTCCATGAGACTCTTATTTCCCATTAACCACCAAAAAGGCAGAAGTAGAGAAATTAAAAAGCCAAGAGACAGCAACCAGGCCCTAAATCAAAGCCTAAATAATAGCATAACACACACACACACACACACACACACACACACACACACACACACACACACACACACACACAGCCAAGATATTTACAGGCATACTTTAAATTAAAATTTCAACAGTTTCCATTTGAAAGAATTCATTCTTTACTACATGTATATAAGTTTGCTTTGTGGGATCATCATTACAAAAACTTAAATACCATAAATAAACCTTGAGTTGTCATAAATTCCTATCTGTATAAATCTGTTAGGTCAACAACATTTTACTTAACCTCTTCATCCAGTAGAAGCAAATAAAATGCTTCCTTATTTAAGAAGGATTACATCCAAAGAAAACCACAGAGGCAAGTGTGAGACTAAAATGTGCTCACTAAACCTGTGGTATCCCTGACACAGGCTTTTTTGACAGCTGCTGAGCAGTCATTGAGAGAAAACATGGAGAGTTAGAGATACGCCACTTCTGTAAACATTCCTTCCCAAAATAGTTTTGAGCAAGTTGGCAGGCCAACCAAAGTAGCAGCACACCAGCCTCGGCACTCAGCACAGCACCTGTCTTCAAGGATCTGAATTTGTGTTTTTAATAGTTAAATCTTTGGCCCAACAGCTGATTTCTTCCTTTGTCATGTTCTTTTCTGAGTTTCCAGAAACAGTCACACCCTTCCGGTAGAGGCTCCTTTAGGAAGCAGCTTCCTCAAATGGTCACGACTGTTCTCAATTTCAGGCTACAATCATTCTACCACCAAAGTATGGTGCTCTCGCAGTAAGTGCTCACTAGGAGACAGGTAAAACCCAAACTTTATTTTTCCTCTACCATCCCTTCCCTCCCAATGCTCTATAGGAAATGTACTCACTACCTTACTCATGTAACTGTAACCCTTTTGTACAGTATCTTTATAATGAAAATGTATATCTTAAAAAAAAACAAGTTTAAGAGAAACAAGACACTAGATGTTTGGGGACAAATAAATGTCAAAGCCATTTCTAAATATCCAATTATCTTAGCATCTTTATCTTCCTCCTTCAGTGGAGAAAAATAA